AGAGAAAAGAGAGAAAAGAGAGAAAAGAGAGAAAAGAGAGAAAAGAGAGAAAAGAGAGAAAAGAGAGAAAAGAGAGAAAAGAGAGAAAAGAGAGACAAGAGAGAAACGAGTGTGTAGCAGTCACAATGACTGAGGTTTTGGCTAGCTACGATAGCTATCGATCTGTCCAAAGGACTTTGTTGGTGTTGAATTGCTTGAAAGAGAGAAGAGAGAGAGGAGGAGGAGGAGGACGAGGAGGAATAAGAAGAGAAGATGAGTGAAGGAAGGGTGCCCGCCACATGATACCTGTCGAGTGAACATGTGAACAGGTTAGCTGTGTCGTGCTGGTTGTGGTGCCGTTTGAGACTCCTGCCGAATAGACAAAGGTAGTGCGGTAGTAGGTGGGAGAGCCTACCTAATCGGACGTCCGGCTGAAAATGACTACGTCGTCTATATAGACAAGTACCTAATCCTATAAGTATCGTGAGAGGAGGTTCTCTATCCGTAACTGGAAAACCTAGACTAATCCATCGATGAAATTATCATGACCTCCTAGCCCCGGTAGTGTAGTGAGGCGATAGGAGGATTGTTCAAGTTCAGTGAGTTTGGTGAGTTCAGTGAGCAAAACGAGTCGAGCAAGTCCACAGAGAAAAGAGTCTATCTCAGCAAGCCACGCCCGCGACAAAAATTTCAGGTTCTACTCTCTTGTTTTGGTTGTTGGTTAGGCGTTGTTCCCGCGCGCCAAGAACGTGAATATCTTCCTGGACAATGTACGCTCCAGAATCGGCTGATAAGTCGATCAAAACACTCTGTGGCGGTCTTAGGCGCGGCGGGCTTCTTCCGAGGCTAAGTTCTTAAGAGCGAAAAGAACTCAAGATAGTCCAAGTACTCCTCTGAGGTCCCGGCTGCTAAAAAATCGGGAAAAAAAGAAACTCCCCCTCGTGCGCTCGAACCCACTCCCTTTTTCAAAGAGGGAAAAAAGACAAAAAAAAGTCTCCCCCGCGTGGTCTCGAACCACGAACCTCCAGATGAAATGTCTTAACAGTCTGACCTAATTTTTACCGTTAGTTTGAGAAATTAACAGTCGACTGAATTTTTGGAGACACTTACGCGCTGACCAATTGTGCCACAGGGGACTTTGACCTAGGTCAGAATACTCTGACGAGTACCTGCTGTGATTGTTGAAAAAAATTTATGCTAATTTAAATTATATAGTTTCCTTTTCTAATAGGCTAGTCTGACGTAAATCACGTACCATCTCCGGCCGCCTTTCTCCGGCTACGCATCTCACTTATGTTCGTCCCCGGGTATCAAGTATATGATCATGTCGTTGAATGGCAGCCTCGATACGAAAAAGTGTTACTTCCTCCGAACGTCTTTGCTAACTTTATGGCTGTTTTCACAATTATTACAAGGCCCTATGGAGGGTGCCCTGGAGAGAGTGCCTTAGAGAGACACGCTCTGTAGGCGACTTAGCGTTAGTTGCAGCTGCTACTAATACCTACTGTATGTAATCCCAGCATAGTGAGCCGACATCTCTGAATTCTAGGTCGTTGAGAGAAGATCGACGACCATGGAAGAATCTACTGATCTTAGAAGAGTGTTCGTACGCTATCACTCTTGTCTACATGGACAGGCTTCGCGGGGATCGAACATCTATTTACAGCAGAGCATACCGCCGAGCTGTTGAAGAAGCCAGACCTACTTGCATACATCACTAAGAAGTACTGTGCCGCTAACCATATCCCTTTCCCGACCTCTACGGACGGACAACTCGCCCTAGTCATGAAGGGTGCGCCTAAGCTACGGGCACTCTCTACCATCATTGCCGATGTGATTGTACAATATGAACTCAAACTACTGATTTTCACCACTATTCCTGGGCAGCTGGTCCTGATCATCGCTATTCTCCGCGCACTGAAGGTTAAAGCTACACCTTGGGTTGCGGGAATGAGCCACGACGCCCGACTTAAGGTCCGGGTGGACTTCAATGGCATTACTGAGCCTGAGGGTCTGATTGGTAGCTTTGCTACCATGGCTTGTGGCCTTAACCTCCAAAAGAGGTGTCACTGGGTGGTTTTCCTAGACCCGCCCCCGTCTGAAAAGGCGGGAAACCAGGCAGGCTCTCTGGTATATAGGATTGGCCAGACACTAACTATTAATCGTAGTAACAATCAAGTGATTTATACTCTCATATTTAGGTTTATAGTTATTATAAGAGGGTCTGGTTACATAGATCTGTAGGACTAGGCGTGTAACACTCAGAGATGGCAGCTGGCCGTCTACTAACACAGAGACTTCTAACACCGTTGACTAAGAGGAAACCCTGTCTCCTCGCAGGCGGCACGCATAGAAATAGCAGTGCCCCAGCTAGTCTTGGCTCGGGTCAGGTCGGGCGGGGTCGTCTGGCCTCGGGCCACCCCGTGACAGTTCCTTAATATATTGACGGGGATTTCCTGGTGACTACGGATTATGCGGCCCTAATATATAGGTAAGTTACCTTTATAACCGAGATAGGTACCTAGTATATCTCAAGTACTAACGTACCACCCTTAACAACTACATCTTATGCTTTGTGCAATCTCACAAATACCTGCTTTGGCGCACTAGTGAGAGAGTACTGTTGCCACGGCTCATTTTCTGGATCCGTGTTCTCGATCCGGTCAAATTGTTGTAAAAGGCGTGTGATAACGTATGCCGCCTCGGTCAGGGCAAACTGTTGCCCCAGGCAGACACGAGGTCCACCATTGAACGGCAAATAGTCCCATCCAGACTTGCGTCCCACCCAGCGATCGGGGTTGAACATTTCGGCGTCCTCGCCCCACAAGTCTTTGTTACGATGCATCACGTACACGGAATAGCCAACAACCTGATTCTTTCTCACGTACACTGGTGATGATCCATCCGGCCCGCCTCCGCGTGGCAAAGTCGTGTTTCGAGTGGCTTGTCGACTGTTGAATGGCACCGAAGGGTAGAGACGTAACGTTTCTTGCAAAACATGTTGTAGGTAGGTACAAGACTTGAGACCTTCAAACGTGATCGACTTGCCATCACTCGGTCCACCAAAATCCTCGAGGATGTAGGTTCTCAGCTTGTCAAATACATCTCGGTTGCGAGCTAGTGACCAGATGGTCCAGCCGAGGAGGCCAGCCGTAGTATCACGCCCGGCTAAGAAGATATTCAGCAGTTGGCTCCTGACCTCGGACGTGTCTTGGGTCTTGTCAAGCAATTCGTCCAAGAAAATATATGTGTCAGCCTTCTTGAACTGTCGTTTCTGCAACGCCTGTTCGATGCAAAAGTCTGCGAATTGTCGAATTTTGACACAATCGTCACGGAAATACCTTGGATTATAGGCCCAATAGAAGTCTTCCAAACGCGCCCGTGTGCCCAGAACCGACGTGCCACGATCAAAACTCGTCGCAACGTCACTCCATCTCAGTAAGTGAGGGCTTATGCTCGAACGGTTTCTGGGATCATGGGCAACCTGGGAATTGGTGCTTTGGCCAAAGAGGAACTCGGTGGCCGAATCCATTGTAAGTCGAAAGAAGATCGGGCCTAGGTCGACAGACTCTGTCCATCCCGAGGCATCGATCGTGAGGTTGTTCAACATGTGACCCACATGTTTCTCCTCTAGATCGAGGTCTGAGATCTGATTACGAGCGAATTGCGGTCGTAGCATGGCCCTAGAATGCTCCCTGGACAAGATACTGAGTCAGACAGATGTCGGTTGTCACTCCTGGCCAGGACGCCCGTATTGAGTCTTCTCACCAATCCTTTCCGTCACTTGTAAAGATTCCATTCCCAAGCATAGGGAAGAAGTTCCTGCGACGCAATTTTCCTAATCCAAAGTCTTTGAATTGCAGAGCTAACACAGCCTGCACATTCTTGGGATCCGTGGTCACGATAGTATCTCGACCCAATACGTTGTGCGCAAAAGTCGTGTGACCGACGTCCTTGTGGACTTCGAGAAGTCGTTGAGGGACCCGGTATTCGCGATCGGCTTTTGCCAGACTATAGATGAAGTCAATCCCTGCAGGTAGTTTGTTGCGAGATCGAGCTGGCTTCTGGCATCCTAGGCTTCGCGCCCGCAAGGCATGACGCCAATTGACCAAGCAATAATAGATGACGATCCAAACGAGAAAGGCACACAAAGCATGCACAATAAACCCGTCCATTGTAATTGTTCAGTACAATCCTTTTAAACGAGACAAGATCGTCTTTCACGAAGAAGATGCTGGTGAAGCTGATACCACAGTCTGACTACTTTATCTACGGGAGGGAGTTGTTGGAACTCTCTTGCTGCCTACAGATACGATGCCTCAAACGAGATACGATGCTTCACGCGAAATACGATACTTACACGAGATACGATGCCTCAAAGGAAGCTAATCGAACGTTTCCGAATACAGATCAAGCCGAGCAAACTCGGCTGCGGTGGGAGCCGAGAGCGACGTACGCGGATGGTTTTGGTGCTTCGGAGCCGAGCACAGTGACCCCTTCGTCTCTCAGCCTACCAAAGCCGGGATGCTCGCCCTTGTCGACGCAAGTCCAGTAACGGCAAGGAAGTATCAAGACGCCTATCTGAGCAGTCGATCTGTTGGTTCTTGACAAGCTATGTCTTCATCAGCAGCTCCTCACCACTTCCGAGCTCCATTGACAGAAAGTCGTTACTCAGGAAAGGCCTCAGAAACGGCAGAATAGAGCATTTGCCACCACAAAGATGCTCGACAACAATGACATGAAGAACATCCCTGGCGGTGATTATCATCATCAATCACTGCTACACGTGCAGGCCGCTAACATGTCACAACAGCTTCGCGAGTGGAATATGTTGCAGCCCTTGGGAAGGTGCAGAGCGACCAGGAGTCAGTGCCAATCCAACCGCTGGAGAGCAACATCGTCGGGGGAACCACGCTGGTCGGCGCTGAGGTCAAGAGGACAATCACTCCCATGACGATGCTCGCTTTGTGCTTCAACATCTGCAGCAGCTGGGCGGGATTATCTACCAGTATCCAAATTGCGTTGCTGCAGGGTGGCCCTATGACATTGATCTACGGCATGATGCTAACGACCGCCATCTACCTGTGTGTCGCCACTGTATTGGCCGAACTTGCCAGCGTCTATCCCACAGCTGGAGGGCAGTACCATTTCACCTCCATTCTCGCCCCGGTCCGCATCAACCGGGCGATCTCCTACATCTGTGGCTTCATTACGACATTCTACTGGATCGCCACCAACGCCGCGGTTTCCATCATCACCGCCCTTCAGATCGCCGCCTTGGCCACTTGGTATAATCCTGACACTCCCGGACACGCCTGGCATGTGTTCTTGATCTTCCAGGCCGTTGCGCTGGTGGCCACGGTCTGCAACATCTTCATGGTCAGATTATTGCATATCGCTCACAACGTTGGCTGTAAGTGCCTTTTTTGAATGACCCCCTCTTTCAAATCTAAAATTCATCTGCTGAGCATACGCTCTAGTCGCCCTCTCGGTCGTTCTCTTGTTGACATCCTTTGTGGGACTTCTCGCGCGAGCAAAGCCAAAAGCTCCAGATGCTTTCGTCTGGTCAACATTCATCAACAGCACGGGATGGCCCGATGGGATCTGCTTCCTGACGGGATTATTGACACCCTTTTTCATGTTCGGTGGTCTAGATGGATCCCTACATCTTGCCGAAGAGGCACAGCAGCCTCGCAAAGTGGTACCTCGCGTATGCTTGGGCGTTGTGCCAGTCGGTTTCATTACTGCATGTGCCTACGCCATAGCCATACTCTACAGCGTAACCGACTTTGATGCCCTCGTGAACAATGACGGGTAAGCCTTTCGACTTTTTGGCAGCAGGAACACATGTTTGCTAAGTCTACTATGAAAACAACAGGTGGATCCCCTTCGAGATTCATCGACAAGGATTCCGCTCTGACGAGGCTGCCCTAGTCTTGCTCTTTGCCGCAGTGGTATTAGCCTTCTTCATCCTCCTTGCAGTTATACACGGCTCGTCGAGGGTTGTATGGGCATTTGCTCGAGACAAGGGTTTTGTGTGCTCGGGAACTCTTAGTTACGTACATCCCAAACTCGATGTACCCGTTTGGTCTCTGGTGCTGAATTGGGCGCTGATAACGGCTTGCGGATTTTTGATCCTCGCCTCCCCCATCGGTATGTACACTCATCCAAACTCCGGGCACGTCCACATGCGCCTCTCATGTCTCTCGCATATAGTCAGTTTACAAGACCCGTCTGCTAACTGCAACTCCAAATGCCAGCCTTTAATGCCATCATCAGTTCTACTGTGGTCCACCAGCTAATCTCTTATTTCATCCCGGCCGTCTTGCTTCTTCACCGACGACGTTCAAACGAGTATCTACCTACTGACCGACAATTTGCTGCGCCCTGGTGGTTAGGCTGGGTAGCAAACGTCGTGATGGTCATGGTCATCCCGGTCTTAGTGGTGGCATTTGTTTGGCCACCTTTTCGCCCCGTCACATTGGACAACATGAGTGAGTGTCTGCCTGGTGCCAATCGAATCTCAAGTTCTTCCTACTAACTCAGGTACTATCGCAGACTGGACTGTCGTGGTGCTCGGTATCGTCACCGTACTTGGGACTACTAACTGGCTGTTCTACGCGCGGAAGCATTACCAGGGACCACGGATCGAATGCCAACAGTGATGATGCGAGGAACAGGGCGAACGATTGTCAGTGGGGCATAGAGATTGCAAGGGAAAGCTTGGGTAGGTAGTAGTGACTATGACTCTGTCAAGAATCTCAACATATGAAGCCTATAAATACCATCATGAATGAATCTCGCCATGTTGTACGCAAGAGGTTTCAAAATCAATTCGAATGACCACGTTCAGCTGACATTCCATGGGTGGAGGACACTCTCGACGATTTGAATAGATATTTATTCATGGAGGTTCTCAAGGCTCTTGACAGTGTTGATTGGCAGACGTGGCGTACGTAGTCGCAAGGAGTCGCGGGAGCTACGCGTCAAGTAGAGCCCTGGACTCATCCTCTGTTACGAGATGGGCTAAGTTAGTCGATCTGAGGGAGGGATTTGCCCAGTAGCCGAGCCCAGAAAACCGACTCAAACGCGGCAGGCAGGTCAAGTTCACGGTTCCGAGTACTAGTCAGGCCAACCGAGGAAAGCCTCCCATATTCTAGCCTGTACATCTCTAAGGCGAGGGAATAGGCATGGTGTCCTCTTTTTCCTTCTGTAATAGTTCTAGCCCGAGCAAGTCTCAATCTGTCCGTTGATCGCTGGAGCAAGTCCAACGCTTCGGAGCTCATCTTCCAAGTCCTGCTCAACGTCGCCCTCCTTCAATAGACCCAGGTAGTATGACAAGTCTCGACCATCGCTTTGGCGAGTAGAGAAACCGTTGCCCAAGAAAGCCCACATGTTCATCCCCCGATACTCGATCTCATAGTCTTCATAGCGGGGCTCCTCCATGATCTCGATGAAGCTGAGACGTGAAGCAGGAAACATGCAGAGTTGACCATCTGCTCGGCCTTGCTTGAACCAGCTCACACACCCGCTGCTCCATGCGGTACGGGCCAGAAACAGCTCGGCATGCTCGGTCAGAGCCTCGGCAGCTTGGACTTTGGGGGTCACGGACTTGATATTTTCTCGTTGTATCTTCTGGATGACTTTTATGAAATTTCGAATAATGACTTCCAGCATGGGCAGGAATGAACCCAAGCCGTGTGGGCCATACGGTCCACTCACGGTGAAGTAGTTTGGCACTTTGATTTTTACCATTTGTTAGCATTTATCTGGCCATGACGCCACGATCGTCTCAACCCGCATGTTGCAAATTAATAGGGGAAAAAGCTCACTGTGGGGAATGCCGATGGACAAGTACGAGTTGATGGATTGCTTCCACAACTCATGCACGCTGTATCCGTTGGCAGTAATGAGAAATCGGGGCATCCAGGTCGTATCGAAACTACGGAGAAACCACGTCAGTAGACCGTCTTTTGACAACCTGGCTGCTTGCCACGTACCCAGTAGCGCATATTATAAAGTCAACATCATGGTGGTCACCATGGGCATCCATGAAGCCCATTGCATCTATCTCTGACAGCTGCTCTGTAAAGACAGTGACATTTTCCTGGGTCAAGGCTTCGAGAAATCCTTCTCCAGGCTAAAAGAGGTGAGTACGGGATTTGACTGAGTTAGGAATCACTTACGGTTGGCCTCCTACAACCAACTTCGAAGGTCTTGGGCAGCAAGGCTTCAAGGATGTCGGGTCTTCCCTTCAATCGATGCGTCATCTCGTCCACAGCATACTAAACATCATTCTTAGTGTATGCCTTGGTTGAAGTATTAGGGGAAGTGCGAGTACCTGTCTAGCCGCTGCATTCTCGGGAGTCCCTTTGATGATGAACCGGAATCTCTTGTTGAGTTCCGATTCCACCATCTTTGAGTATTTGAGGGCAAGCTCCGGAGTTTCTTCTAGTTGGTCCTTCACTTCCTCTGAATCTGCGTCAAAAGTCAGCATCATGATACGGGCAGGAGACAGAGGAGCCGCTTACAGTCGAAGTTGCCTCCAGTTGGACCGGCATACTTCTGTGCGAACCCCGCTGTCACCCATGTCGGAGACCGAATCCAGGTATACAGCTTCTTCACCTTGGGCGCGATGTTGGCGGTGATTTGGATTCCACTGCTACCCATGCCAATGACCGCGACCCGTTTTCCAGTCAGGTCGACCGACTCGTCATAGTGAGCGCTGTGTTGGAGTGTTCCTCTGAACGAGTGAAGTCCTTTGATGTCTGGCCATTTCCAATTGCTACAGTGCAGTTCAATCAGCTTATCGGTGCCCAGGACATGTACTGGCTCCAGACGGAATCATGCAGCGACCGCATGAACTTACTTCAGATGACCACTGCCATTGATGAGCACGTCGCAGGCGTCATCAAACTCTGCTCCGGTCGCGTCCTTGACTCGAAGACGCCAGACACCTTGTTCTTCATCCCACGCCGCATTGGTAACGGTGTGCCCAAACTTGACATACTTCCTCAGTTGATACTTGTCCACAATTCTGCGGAGGTACTCCCAAATTTCTCGGGAGCTCGAATAGTACTGTGACCATCGAGGATTCCGCTCCCAGGTAAACTGGTAAGAGACAGAAGGGATATCGCATGCACAACCAGGGTATCTAAGGAGATGGCGAAGTCAGGAGGTGTGTTTGGGAATGGACAACCTGGGGGCCGGAAGTACCGATTTTCAAGCCATGTTCCACCGACATCGTCGTTCTTGTCATAAATTTGGACATCCACGTTGGTCAATAGATCTTGAGAGAACTTAGAAAAACATATTCCCGACGCACCAGCGCCAATGAAAACAACCCGAAGAGGCCTCATTGTTCCCAACGGCTGTTCAAGGATTCGGTATCCCCGGGCGTTCTGCTGTGGCCAACCAGCCGAAGTCTGCCAAGTGTTTACATTGTGCATTTCTGGCTAAGAGTCTTCCACTAACCTTTGCGAAAGGCGCATCCGTCATGATGCGATCGAGGGAGGCTCTGGAATTGTCGACAGTATCAACCATAGTCATCGTATTCATGAGTGCAATGTGGTCCGGCGCAAGACGAGCAAGGTCTGCACTCCTTGTCACTCATGTCGACAAGCTCAGTCTCTTGCACCAATGTGCTTTTTATGGCGGTCGAGGGAAGCACCGGCCTAGTGGAAGGATTTCGTGTAGGCCTGCTGTACGGACCAGGACGAAATAGGGCCAGTGGCACTGATCGGAGCCGAATCGTTCGGAACCAGCGAAATCTGTGAATGAGTGGCCAACTTTTCAAGGACCGACCTCGGTTCCAAATTCCGGACCAGCTGCCGGAAAAGCCCAGACAGGCTCTGTGGCGCTGGGATACAGTGTGGAAAAGATGTATTCCCAATTTTGGTTCACAGAGTCATGCTCTGCAGGATCTATGGTCTCGTCAACTTGCTGTTCGACCGCGAACTGAGTGGCCATCCTCGACTTGGCTCCATCCAGGATATGCTGGAAGAGTCTCATCGCCGCACTGGCTGTCGACCAGAAAGGTGCCATTTGTTTCATGATTGGGAAACATCCCTCCAGCCTAGCTTGGGCCTGGAGGGTCAATAGCTTTGACTTTTTCTCGATTGCGAGGCGGAGGGCCCTGGAAAAATGTATTCCCACGGCCATGATAGCTGTCAAGCCGGTGAAATAACATCTCCGGATAGCACCAGTGTAACAGATGGCAGAGAGAGTACTCATGAGACTCTCTGCGGCACTATTGCAGAGTTCCAGTGACTGATGATGATTCACCTCGTGGCTCTGCTGAATGACCGCACGGTGCAGCTGCAGGAGAATGATGTTGTAGTGAAGACGCAGTTGCAGCATGTAAAAGCCGTCACCATCAGGACATGCCAGTAGCCACTCGGCCAGACGCGCATCGATCTGACTTGTGTCCTGCAGGACCCCGGCTTTGCGTATGGAGCCCGGAGAGAAAAGAACAAGGGCGTCTGCAATAATCTCACACAGCTTACTGTTGTGTATAAAAGAACTTAGTTCTATCTTCTGGTTCATAGATCCATCGGTCTCGACCAAGTCTTGAGCAGTGAGCGGGGGCTGGTCTACGTCTTCGTTCCTGATGAGCAGAGGTCTCCCGTGATCAAGGCTCGAGAGGACAGAGGCCTGGAACAGGGTCCACCAGATTCGGCGGAAAAGATTTCGAGCAGACTGTGGCATGACACTGGTTGATGTCGCTGCCAGATTCCTGTGCATTCCCAGACCGAAGGCAATCCCACACGCGACCGAGATCCAGTAGTACGCATTGGCACTTACGGTGTCAGCATTCTCGACATGCCAAGAAAAGAGCAGGGCTGCCTGAACCAGTGTGACACGGTCATTCTCGAAACGCAAGTCCCAGAGCGTTTTAGCCCTCTGGAAGAGCGCAGCCTTGACGAGGGATCTCGCTTGTGCCACCTTGGGGTGCTGACAGACGTGGGCTCCCACCAGTAGAATACTCTGTAGTAGCAAGAGCGGTGGTGGGGCATCCTTCTGTGCATAACTCTGTCGAAACTCGCTCTCGTCCACCACGGGGAACCCCGGGTGAATCTCATCGAAGAAGGCGTCGACCAGTGCGTCTCGGACATCCCTCTGGGGAAGAGAGCTCAGGGCAGAGCCGGAATCTGCGCGAAGTTGAAGTGGCAATGACTGAGAGTCTGGCTTCCATGGCAACACGCGGTGGATCTGGGGAATTGGAAAATGTAAATTGCTGTTGGCGTCGCCATCGCGTTCCTGGCTGACGAGGAAGGCCAAATTGGAGACCGGGGTCCCAATGTAACACATGCGGGCCGCGGCCGGCTGATCAAAGAAGGACCAAGATGAGGAGCTTATGCCATGCTGAAAGAATTCAACCAGGCCCCGCTCCATCAGTTGCTGGTTGACAGCATCCTCCGAGGCAGAATCGTCAACATAGGTGGTGTGCGGCCGAGGTGTCCAGGCTACCGGTCCTTGGGGCCCGGGCGGTCTCTGTGGTGGAGGAACGTGGTCGTCATGTCGCTCGGCTGGCACAACGGGCGTAGTGGAGTTTACTTCCGTTGTGCTACGCCGTGATCTACTCTTTCGTGATAGTGCCTCGACAATATCATACCTATGAGAGTATCCGGGTGAGTATAGGAGCTAGTTGTTCAGACCGAGGCCACATGGGCACACTTACTGACACACGGCTCCGACGGCTCTGCAATTGGAACAGGGTTGGCGTCCAATCGCATCACATCGGACTTTTCTTCGGTGGCAAGCATTGCAAGCTCTTAATTGCTTTCGCCGACGAACTGGTGCCTGCGAGATGGAGGCAGATGAGGGAGAGTCAACGTTCAGTATGAACTCCATTGTTATCGACGAACAAGCCAATGCTTCAAAGACAAAGCTAGGACCATGGGCGTGAGGCCAAGTGTTAATGATGACTGGTATAGGCAGCTCCGACATGCGGTCAAGATTTGCCAAGGAATGCCAAACAGATCCTGGAGCCCAGAAGCCGAGGACCCGGTTTCGGGTCCGAGAGGAGTCGCCGATCAGCCACATCCACGCGTCCATTAGCATGGGTTTGATGCTTGTCCAATTCGCAGAAAGGAGTAATGTTAGTGTTTTCAGTCGGATCTAGCACTGAGGTCCTGGCATAGCGTATCAAGTTGATCAAATCTGTCAACAGCCGCGACGAGGCCAGGTCTACCCCTTGTCCAACGGGGTTATATCTGCACTAGCGCAGCAGAATGATTACAATGATCATCCTCCTCTGTTCACAGATCAGTTTTCAAAGATCTTTGAGTGTGCAGAGCGAGACAATTGCTAGACTATTTCTCACCGTGAACGTCTTCATCATAGGGTTCTAGCGTACACCCACACAATGCAAGAAAATCAAGGATCACTTCGCGCCGAGGAAAAAACGAGAGCCATGGCAGATGTCGAGGCGAATGTTGCGTTCTTCCAGATGGTACCCTGGACGAGACAGGTTCTCGCCACTGGAATTTTCGAGGCCATACCGACCAGCTATCGAACAAGTCGCCAGGCCGGGGAAGACACATTCTTCCACGAGACGCTCAACACCTCATCAACATTTCCCCACTGGCTCTGGCTGGCTCGGAAACAAGCCGCAACTGTCGAACTGGATCGATCGCATCGTTACTCGACGGGATGTACAAGTCCTTCGTTGTCTCAGCTGAACAGCATGTTTCTTGTCGAGGTCGGAGAAGCCTTGTGGGGATTCAAACATACGATGCACGGCGGAGCCATCTGTGCTCTTCTTGATCAGGCATTATCGCTGTGTGCTGGACGATATCAGAAAGCCTCGGAGCATACAAATGGAACTGTATACACCGCGACCCTATCTGTAAATTTTCGTCAACCAGTCATCGTGCCCGCTGTTCTGATGGTGGAATGCTGGTTGGAACAACATACAGGCAGAAAGTGGCACATCCACGCCCGCCTGGTTGACGGGCAACATCGAACCCTGTGCGAAGCCCAGGGGGTGTGGATCTTGTCGAGTAGCGTTCTGTAACAGTGACGCAATGAGAGACAATGAAGACGTTAGGGGCCCAACACGAGCTACCTCTATGGTTGCCTTGAACAGAGAGCTCGAAATTGTATCAGTAGCCTAAAACCATCGATCAATGCAGAAGTATGCATTGCAGTACACGCCAAAACCTGTCGGCTGTACTCCTATCAGTCTACTGCCTACCCGGATTTGTCGTACACAAGTCAATTACCGGATAATGTCGTACGGTGAAGAGCGACAATATCGTCTATCAACTTTTTGTAAGTAGATATAACCAGCTCCATCCAACTCCCGTCGACCACGCCCTCTAACCAGGAGAATCCTATGTTGAGCATCCCGTCTGCTCCGGTGACCAAGGATGTTTCAAAGGGTGCTCCCACGATATCTGCGCTTTGACTGAAGACAACTCTGCCTACTGTCCATCCGTTGCCATTCACGTCCGGGAGGGTCTCACTAGAAAAGACGCCAATATTGGAGAACTCGAAACTCTCTTCACGGGGTTTGCCATGCATGCTACTGAAGAATCGGTGAAGGTCCCCTGCAAATCGCAGCAGACCAACCACGCTATCCTTACCTTCTTTTTCAAGATCTGCCGTGATATGCTGTTTGATGCGGCGTGCTTCGTCCCAAGAGAAGTATGCCCGTGCTAGGTCGTCCGAATGATTCTCGATTTTCGGACGAGAATGTTGTTCGACATATCGAGAAACCCAGGTACCTATGGACATATCATCCACCACGTCTCGAGGAAGCCACCGTCGTAATGAGACGGCCCCACTGACACGAAGGAGCGAATATCGATCAGCCGGTAATTTGGCGAATAGAGCGGCGGCCAGCATGGCGTGCAAAGCAGCCGTTACGCTAGTCGAGTTAGATCGACAAGCTCCGGCAAGATCTGATGTGGCTTCTTTCGAGAACGTGATGGATTGGAAACGACTTCGCCGAGGATCGCTGGTGATGGGGGAAGCCGTCCACAGATTCGACGGGTGGGGCGCAACGTATTCTCTCCACAACGACTTGACCATGTAAGATGGGGACAGTGGTAGTTTGTGGAGTGCTTCTAGAGTGGGAATGAGCTTGTTGCTCACCGGTACCGGAATGGTCTGCTGGGATGGCGGCAGTTTCGATTCTGCTGCCCGGCCAAGCTGAAGGACTAGAGATCGGTGGAATGCCATCCCAGACGTCCCATCAGCTACGGCATGATGATAAATGAACGAAGCCACAAATTGACAACTCCTGTCAGGGTCGTAGGTAATTCTCAGCCGCCAAAGGGGTGAGTTGTTGGTCATGGGCGAAAAATTTACATTGTGCTCATCCTCGAGGATCTGATCCAGCTTGTGCGGTCCAGTGACTTCCTCGAAGATGCCAGCGCAGGCCGAGAATCTGACCGTTTTGTCGAAACTGATTGAAGGCAATTGTGCAAAATAAGCCCCCGACTTGTCCTCGCCTACGATGGTGACGCTGAGGGATGGGTGCAGAGCGACGACACCCTTGACTGCATGATAGATCCTGGATCGCAGCTGCTCCAGCTCGATTGGACATGAATATGTATAGTATGCACTGACTCCGACATTGTTGTAGTACCCCAGTGAATGTCTAGCCGTTGCATGTTCTTCGAGGCGTCCTAGTTGCTCTGATCAACCAACAGCTTCTCGAAAAGGCCCACCACGAGACTCACCCACACCACGAAGTTTCTTCAGCGATTGAAGCTCGGCCATCAATTCGTACAGTCTAGGTATCAACTCCTTCCACGGTACTCCTCTTACACAAGCGTGATTAACCCGAAAATTCTATAATCTCAAGATACTTTCGCTCGATTGTAATGGAGTACTTATATTCTTTCCTTGGCTCGGCGTTTTTTCTTCCGATCCACGCTAGGTATGAGGCTCGGAGCCGTGAGTCTAAAAGGGCGCCTTCAGGTCCACTTCGCCCTTTCTCGGTCCTCTTGAATCGGAGCCGGGCAGTTGGCGCTGGCAATGTGGTTGCCCTATATTTATTTATCAGAGGTCTTCTGCAGCCGGTGGCAGATGCTAAATTAAACACAAAGCCCATTGACCCCAGCTGCAAACCAGAGACGACACACTTCTACCATAGTTCTATGATACGCGAATCATGTCTTCGTTTGTCAAATCCAGCTCCAGTGTGCAATCCTTCAACCCACACGGAGTATGGCTTTCCGGACCAATCTTCTCTCAGGTAGCTTCGACCAAGGGATTGGTGCGCATTGTGGCGACGGCAGGCCAGGTCGGAGTCGACGAGCACGGAGTCATCATCAAGGATCCCGAGGCTCAAATAGAACAAGCCTTTAAGAACTTGCGAAGATGTCTTGAGGCTGCAGGGGCGACGGTCAAAGACGTCTACAAAATGGTTTGGTACATTGTCAATTACGACCCCAAAAACCGGTTGTACCGGAAATCTTTGATCAAGTTCTTGGATGGACACCGGCCGGCGACTACAGCCATGGGAGTGGTAGCCCTAGCCGAACCGGATTATATCTTCGAGATCGAGGCTTACGCCGCTGTGAAGCAATTTCCACTCCAGATCGCGGATGTCGTGGTTGTGGGCGCTGGCCTCAGTGGCTTAAAGGCCGCATACGACGTTCAGAAATCAGGTCACACGTGTCTTGTGGTTGAAGCTAGAGACCGCGTTGGTGGTAAAACATGGTCTGTCGACCCTCTTGGACACAATAAATTTGTCGACTTAGGAGCAGCCTGGATCAACGACACGAATCAGTCTCACATCTACGAATTGGTCAAGATGCTAAGATTGCCCACGGCAAGCCAGAACATCTCAGGAAATGTCGTGCAGGAAGATATTGGAGGCCAATATTCAACTTATCCTTACGGCTCCACGCCCGTCGTAAGAGGTACCAATGGCCTGAGATCTGGACGGGCGGCTAATACTTATATAGGAGTTGTCTGAGCCGAATGGAGTTACCGACATGGTTAAGATTCGCGATCTGGCCGAAGGTGTATGCCAAAACATGGACATCCACAACCCGACCGGCACTGGGAAAGCCCTCGACAACATTACCCTGGAACAATGGGTAAGACAACAAACTTTGAGCGAGACCGCGCTCGCTTCAGTGCGCGTTTGGACCCGCGCGATGCTTGGCCTTGAGCCGTCAGACATGAGTGCTTTGTACTTTCTGGACTACTGCAAAAGTGGCGGCGGATTAATGCAGATGCGATCCGACAAAAAGAACGGAGGGCAATTCCTTAAGGTGGAAGGAGGTAAGACGCCATTGTTGTCATTTAGTCCTTAGCCGTCTAAAATCTTGTTAGGAACACAAAAGATTTCGGAAGGCCTAGCCGGGCTCTTGCAGCCAGGATCCGTTATACTAAGCAGTCCTGTCCGGAGCATTGAAGAAACCCATGACGGCACTTTGGTCTCTTCAGGGCGAGGTGACATCCTCTGTAAGCGTGTCATCGTCTCAATCCCGACACCACTATACAAAGAGATCACTTTTATACCATCTCTTCCAGAAGCTAAGCAAAGACTTGGCGAATCTAACAAGTTAGGCTACCAGCTGAAGGTTATGTTACTCTACGCTGAGCCGTGGTGGCGCTCCTACGGACTCTGTGGCCTTCTACAGTCTTTTGTGGGGCCAGTCTGCGTTACTCGGGATAGTAGCGTCGACCATCAAAGGACCTACTCACTGACATGCTTTGTCTCGGGAGAACCAGGGATTGAGCTCTCTCGTCGGTCTCAAGAGGAACGCTTCAAGGTTGTGCTTGCGCAGATTGAGCGTGCTTTCGGCCCCTTTGTCAATGGTCCAGTGCCTCAGCCATTGGCTGTTACAGAACACGAATGGGCAAAAGATCAATGGGCTCAAGGGTGCCCTTGTCCGGTTTCACCTCCGGGAATCATGACAGACTTTGGCCATGCGTTAAGGACACCGCATGGGAAAGTGCATTTTGTCGGCACGGAGACGGCATACGAGTGGAAAGGCTATATGGACGGAGCTGTGCGGTCGGGAACACGAGGCGCTCGAGAAGTTATCCACATGCTGGAACGCCCCAGAATATAGGCCTTTCGTAGCCAGTGCAGAAATTCAAGACCGAGCATCTTTCGCGCAGAAGTCCATTCAGGTAGTGGGTCTAATGGGTCAGTGTTGATATGGGACGCAATTTCAAGGCAAAAACTGGTAAGAGCTCAAGAAACATCGCCACACGTTATAGTGTTGCAACATAGCGCTCTGACTGCCCGTGGTGACGATTTGCCTCTTGGATTAGACATTCAGCTTACTCGCATCTCAATGCTCGGCTTCTTGGGGCTTGATGATCAGAACCACAAAATGAGCCGCATCATGTCGAGCGAGAATAACTATATGACATAAAGCAGACGAGTTCAGGGCGAAAGGGTGCGGGAGTTAGGGCAACCTTTTGCCCGAGAGTCCTTTGCTCAAGCAGCAGAACTCCTCTCGTTGGGGTGATGCTTGATGTTTCCAGCGTTAGATTGCACAACCTCAACCGAAGTACTCTTTCCGGACTCTTCAGCCGAGTGACCCAATTCCGTTCGAACGTGTAGTGGGACAATTACCCCTTCTTCATTATAATACTGCGTGTCCTTGGCGTATTTCCAGGTCACAAACAGGAGGATCGGGAAAGAAATGGCAGACAGAGCGAATGTAGCCGCGTTCTCGTGGCTGTACGGTGTGGCTGTCGAATCCATGGCAAACATAGTGCAGGTTCCCGCAGAAATAACTTTTGACAAGGTTGGTTAGTATGTAGTCTTCGTGACAAGGGTGACTTGTTTAACTCACAAGCGATGAATATACCCGCAATGCGCGCGACCTTGTCAGGTTGATTGGTGATGCAGCCGAACACATAGATAACGATATTCTGAAAGATGCCATACTGCCCGACCATGAATAGATATATTATCAACGCTCCGGGATAGGCATCGTCGTGAATATCAATCGAGGGTCCAGGAATCGAGCGGTCGAAATTCCAGCTGCTAAGCCAGATGGTCTGAGCAACGTAGGCACCCATTACCCAGACGGCGACGATGAAGATGCCAATGAATGCTCTGCGGCGTCGTGGTCCCAGGATGGGGCTGTCAAGAAGACAGCCAAACCCCAGCGTGACGGGCACTTGAATGGCGTTTCCAAGCATAGTATTCAATGTCCGTGAGCGAAGATTAAAGGCGTATGCATTGATCGAGGCCTGCATGGGAAAAAACATCTCCGGAGTGAAGAAGACCGGGAGCATGATCAGAATCGCCGGCTCTTTGAAGAGGACGAACATAGCCTTGAGGTTCTGCCACACCGGTATAGGATTATATTCAGCAATGGCAGTTCCATCGTTTCGGCGAAGTCGTTCCGTAGGAAGAAGGAGAACGGCCAGTCCTATCGACGCGACCTGGATACAGATGAAGACAACATACATGGAATGAGGAACGCCCAGAGATTTGGCTTTACAAAGAACATTGTTTCAGCAGTTGCGGAAAGGCATGCGACAAGACCTCTCACTCACCATTCCAGTTGATGCTACCAGCGCCTTGTGGTCAGAATCCTGATGTGAAATACTTCGTCACTCCAGTTGTGAACTTACCCAAGGGCGATACAGCCTCCGATTGTGCCACCTCCGACATTGGCGGTCCATTGCACGGCACGCCACATGCCTCGATTCTTCTCCTCCGAATAGCCGTTACTAGTGTAGGCCGCGGTCGTCCACATCAGGCCCGCTGTGAAGCCAAGGTAGAGCCCTGCAACCGTTGGATACCACAGATGGCCGAAGGAGTCAAAATACCACATTGATCCTGTAGTTGCTAGGCGTTAGCATTCATTGCCATGAATGCCATTAGGAGGTCACTCACCCGTAAATATGGGATACCCAGTAATGGCCAGGAGCAACGTATAACGAGGCCCAAGTCTGTTGAGTACGGTCGAGGCTCCTAGCCCGCTGAGGATAAATGCGCCATACAGGACAGCATTGCTGATGTTGGCCATGGTAATGGAGCTTGGACGACCACCGCCGGCGCCGAGGGTCTGGAAAATTCAGTGCCTCGCCGCTAATAAGATGCTTGACGAAAAATAACACACCGCGATGGTCAAGTACAAGCCTGGGTTGCAGAATAAAATCGCGCTGACGATCATGTTTTGGATGAATGGGCTTGAGGACGCTGTCAGTGCATTCGTCTCGGCCGTCAGAAATGAACTGCTAACTTGTTCAATCGCCACGGAGAGAGGCGAGTCTCGCCCACAACGAGAGCATTTTCATTTGACGTGCTTGGTACTAGAGGCATTCTATTCGGAATTCAGTTTGGTGAACTGAAACGGACAAGTGTGAGGTATTGAAAATATGGCTCTCAATCTCGGCTCTTTCGACGATTTCAATATTTCTGGGTGCATTGCGCAGACTTGCGTGAGTGTTCATCCCCTACTGATATATGTGTACGATGGCATCAGAGGTCTGAAGCGAATTAGTGCTCCTGGTTGATCTGACGGATAACACACCTGGACCGCGAAGACTACGAATAGAGAACTAGATCCACTTGCCCGAGAAGGAAAGAAAGATAACAAGATACTGAGACGACCACGGCGGCTCCGAGCCAAGCGGCCGGTCGGAACCTTGTTCTCGAGATCCTGAGATTTGACCGACTCCTTCAAGGCCCATTTTCGAAAGTGAACTACCAGATTGCAACGACTCCATGTCAGCCTTTTGAAGGACATTTTCGTCCGTGGTAAAAGAGTATTTGACACTGATAAGAGCCACCAGGCCTAACCTGAACTGTACGTGGGAAAGAACCACGACCACGTTAACATGGCCATCATCGATAGAGTGCCCAAAGACTATCCGGCGGAGATTACCGGCTACGCAGAGCCATGGCTTGCCTACCCAAACGACGTCTTGGACATCAAGGTAGGCAAAAAGAATCACCTACAGCTCACGTCATGATGGACCGGCTGACGAAGTAGGTGTCGTGCACGGAGCCAGAGTTCTCTTACCGCGTTGTACGCGTGATCCAGGGCGTGAACCTGCCACACTCACCGAAGGAACAGCTAGAAGAAATGTCTAGCATCCCCAGCGGGATAGCTAAGGGGTTCTACCAAGTGGCACGTTATGGCTCATATGCCGAAGTCTTGGATTGGTGCCCGTTGTCACTTGAGATCTCAACCTTGGAGCTGACATTCTACTTTCAAGCGCATCTGGTCCACGCAGGTCACCGCCAATCAATATGCTCAACGCTCGATGTAAACTCGAGAAGTGGATTCGCAGTCGTCATCAACGAGAATGGCCTTGTCGAACTCTGGGTCGGAACTGGAGATGAGGTGGTTGTCATGTCCACGACCTTTAGCCCACTTCCCCGACGTTGGGTCGGTGTCAAGCTGCTCCTTAGCCAAAAGACCGTCTCCTTCTGCCTTGAACCGCGTCCCTTTGTAGCGGAGAAGAGTCCATCAGGTTTACAGCTCGACGAATCATTGACGCATTCATTTACTCTCAATCGGAGGAGTCTGCTTTTCGCCGGCAGCTATGCTGAAACGCCAACCACCGCATTCTCCCGAGTGACCAACTTTTTCAACGGGCGCATCGATAGCCCAACCATCAGGTCATCAAAACACGGAATTATCGTCCAGTATGATTTTGCCCGTAACATCACAGAGGACACGATCCTCGATGTTTCAGGAGCTGGCCGTCACGGTACGCTCGTCAACGCTCCTACACGTGCTGTACGTGGGTATGACTGGGACGGAACAGAGGTCGATTGGACCAAGGCGAAATATGGCTACGGCGCCATCCATTTTCACGAGGACGACCTGGATGATGCGGCCTGGGAGACGGACTTCTCGATTCGAATCCCGCCGAATGCGCGGTCGGGCATCTATGCCGTGGAAGTTCAATCCACGAAGGGACGCAAAACTTCTGACATGATTACCTTCATCGTCGGTACGACCGAGAGAACAGCCTCGACGGCAAACGAAAAGATTGCTTTTGTGCTCCCGACGTTTACATACCTCGCCTACGCCAATGACAAGCTCGGTGACCCCAACAGATCATCATCTGGAGGAACAGGTGCGGCCTTGTGTGACATAGACCCTACACCCACAGTCAACTCTGACCGCAACCACCGCCGCCTTGACCTAGGCTTATCGACTTACGATGTTCATAATGATGGTTCTGCCAATGTTTATTCCACCGCGAGACGACCGATAATGAATCTTCGGCCGAATTCCGTTTCATATGGCCTTGGGCGCCCACGCCACCTAAGCGGCGATTCTATGATGATTGGATATCTGGAGCGGCTGGGCCTTCCATACGACGTTCTCACTGATCATGACTTACATAATCAAGGGGTTAATGCGCTGCTACCGTACTCCGTCGTCATTACTGGAGGCCATCCCGAATATCCCACTACCCAAGTATATGACGCATACCAACATTATGCGAATCGAGGCGGCAACATCATGTACCTAGGTGGCAATGGATTCTACTGGGTTACGGCATTTGACCCGCATCGTCCCTGGCGGGTTGAGGTCCGCCGGGGCGAATCTGGCGTCCGATCGTACTCTATGGAGGGCGGCGAATGGAGCCTAAGTCTCAACGGCCAGCTTGGTGGCCTGTGGAGATCTCGCGGTCGCTCCTCTCATGCCCTGTTTGGTATTGCGTTCTGTAGTCAAGGCCGCCCTCCTGGTGTCCCATATAAGAGGACGGACGCTGGAAAAGACCCTCAGTTTCGTTGGATGTTTGAAACACTAAAGGAGGATGAGCTTATTGGGGAGTTTGGGCTAGGTGGAGGAGCGAGTGGTGACGAGATGGATAGTTTCGATATACAACATGGTAGTCCGTTGAACGGCGTGGTCGTGGCGACAAGCACCGGCCATGATGATGGATTTGCCATTGCGAGCGAATGTGTTAAGTATCCGATTCTCGCAACAAGGGGCACAGAGACGCGAGAAGTGCGCTCCGATATGGTCTACTACGAAACAAATGCCGGCGGAGCGGTCTTCTCTGTTGGCAGTATCAACTGGTACCCATCCCTGGGGTGGAATAACTACGATAACAACGTTGCACGGCTTACGGGGAATGTAGTTCGAGAGTTCCTAAGACGGTCGACCGGGCGGATGAGATAGATTTATCATCTTCAACGAAAACTTGAGTCAGTGTTTCTCGTTGAAACAAAATGGGTGCTCTGTCGGTCGCTGACAAACGTCTGGATGGCCTGACTTGAAATGCAACTTCAGCTGCTTCAATGATCAGAAAGCTTTTTGGTCAATGCAATACCTAGTAGGAAGCAGCTCACCGCTCTTTCGGCTGTCTGATGTTGTCTAGGTGATCTCGGGTCCGAATCATGGAGATAACAATTCCACGAGGGAGACCATCGGGCCCACCTCTGACTCTAGTGCACGTGTCGCCAGATAACGAAGGCCTTAAGATGCATGGGGGTGGCATGAGTCTTGGAGCTATCTAGAAGAAGTAGATAACGATTTCGATTCTAGGCACCCGAAAATTCTACTGATCTAGTGCTTCGAAGTGTCTTTTAGTTGACCTTCATGCCTCTCTAGCTGTGCCGCCGTCTTAAGCATTCCCTAAATTCCGGAAACTATCAATAAGTACTCGGTAGTACGCTCAGTCTTCCACCATCCGTGACCAACGACATGCCGTTGATGTAGGCCCCCGCCCGGCTACACAGCCAGAGCACCGCACCAGCCATGTCAAGCTCGTCCCCCGTCCTCGTAGCCGGCACTCGACTCTTCTCCCACGTGCCTTCGACGTTGTGGTGGCCTGCTCGACCCTCCTGCGTGTAAAGGTCGTGCGTCATCTCGGTGTAGTAGTATCCTGGCACGATCGTGTTGGCGCGAATATCGTACTCGACCAGCACCGTGGCCAGCATCTTCATCATATGGATGAGGCCCGCCTTGGACGGGGAATAAATCATGTCAAACAGGAATTTGCGACTATAACCCCCGGTGGAGGCCGTAGCAATGATCTGCGGCCGAGGCTTGAAGTTGTCTGAAGTCGCCGGTAAAGGTCTGGTTTGATTACGGGCGTGTAGCAGAGGAAGGAACGCCGCAATGGTGAAGTGGACGGCCGTGACATTGACGGCGAATGTGTGATTGACTGCCTCGAAATCTGGTGCCCAGAGATTCTCGGCAAATTGCTCCAGGGGCAGATTTTGGCCTTTCTCGTCGGTGACCGGTGTTCCAGGAGCCATGACACCATGGTTGCAGATGAGGACGTCAAGCACTAGGCTTTTCGACCTGACTTGCTCGACACATAAGCGGAGGCTCTCCTTAGAGGTGACATCGCATGCCATGGGGTGTATGTTTTGTGTCGGCACAGATGCAGCAACCGATTCAAGAGATTCCAACCGTCGACCGAGGATGAAAACATTAGCGGCACCATTGAGAGCCAGAGCCCGTGCCATCATCGCCCCGAGCCCACTGCCGCCGCCCGTGATGACGATATTAAGATCAGTCACAGCGAAGAGGCTGCCGGCTTGCAGCTTGGAAATGTCGGTCTCCATGTTTGAGGTGAATAGGAGTGATTTCGCCCGAGGTGAAGTCGATCCAGAAAATGACGAGAGATGCGCTGGTACAGTATTAGTATGAGCATGAGTTTCACTGCGGTACCTTCATTGATGAGTGGATGGCCAACGCGACCATTGGTACTCAGTGGGTATGCATGACGTGCTTGTATTTACTCGGTCCCTCGGCTCCGAATTCTTTTAAACAAAGCCTACGCGGATCTCTGACTGGGTGATATCCGGGCATGCGATACGTTGAGGATATTCGTAGCAATACAAAACCGGCAGATCGGCATCCAGCGGTGTTGGAAAGAAAGATTGGCGTAGAGTCTCTGCCTTCTCTTCAAATTCGCGTATAAGTTACCACTGCTTCGGCGTCGTTGCTGAGCTGGTGTCAAGATCTTCTATCACCAACAATAGTATATTCATATATAGAGGTCGGCAGGAAGACTAATGGGACCGGTTCATTAAAGTGTGACAATAATCATGACGACAGGCTAGATTATGTTCGTAGTTCCGGCATATGTATACTTGAAGAGACAATGGAGAGGCGTAGGCTGCGGTCATTGGTAGTTCGAAGTTGGCGAACGCTGACGATAGGAAGCGGGAAACACAACTCCCCACGGGCGAACGCGGCCAGTGACAACCGCCTGTATATACAGTGTCAATTCTCCTCTCGTCTTCTGCCGTCAAATCTGTCCTCATTCATCTGAACCTCTGTCAATCGCCTTCATCAGATTTCTCTAGCTTTCCAGTCATGGCGACCTTCATCGCATATCAGCCTCGTGGAAATCCACCGCCCTCACGCAACTAAGCAAATCTCCCACAGCTGGGATTGCCGCTTATGCGTCGCGTAGAAAATACCTTTAACCTCTGAATCAGACAAAATCTGTAGGCGTGGCGGATTTGGTCGATTTTGTGGATTTGACTGCTTCTCCCCGGGAGACCTCTCGAAAGTGTCTGGTGCTGCGGGAACTTTTGGAGCCGATCGGTCACGCCCGAGACAATCGCGATATGCGATGGCTGTATATCATGGTAGCATCGCGACATACGGCGACCATATTGAGGCGGCTAAGATAAACAATCACGACGACAGCGATACTGACTAGAAAAGCGAAGCCAGTGACCTTCCGTCTCTCCATGATCTTTGCACGCGGAGCAGCAATCAACTTAGAGGCAGCGACGCACCTCACTACCAGGTCTTTACGTCGCGATATCCGGTCAGCGAGCCCTGTAAGCAATATGATCATAAGGGTAATGGCGGCGAAGTTGCCAACCTTATACCGGCGGATGTTAAAGGCGCTCAACTCGGTGCCAGCGAGTCGAGAAGACCCTACGTACCGAGGACCATACCGGGACCGTGCGACGCTGACATGATTCTAGATAATCACATTGTGCTGGACGACGGCTAATTCGTTGACATGCACCACGGCGGCACCCGCCTCGATGAGGCATTGCCTACCTGCGAAGCGGTGGACCCGGCATGCCCCGGCGATGAGTCCGTAAGTCCTTCTGAAGGAGATGTCGCTTCAAGCTCGGGCTATGGTAAGCACACCCCACGGTCATCTGTGACGTACAACAAGGATGACCGTATAGTTACGGGCAAGAAGAAGGCAATAGATCACACGCCGATGACGCTGTCCGCACCCGTACTCTAGCTACAGCTCGTGCTGATTACGAGTGCGGTGGCAACGGTGGTAATTTAGATGCCCCCGCGGCGATTAGGCGAATTCACGACGTCTTTGCTGAGTACGAGGAGGGCTGGTGGTTCTTACAACGGCGACTTCTTCAGCACGGGAATACAACAGAATCTTTTTGGATTTGCTGGCAAAGTACATAGAGAGAGACTGGATTGGGCTTTCCACAAACTCGGCAGTCCCTACGCCGACCAGGGTAAGCTGGTCGAGGCGGAGAAGATGTACACACGGGCGCTGTATGGCTATGAGGAGGCCCTTGGACTGAAGCACACATCGACACTCGATACGGCCAGCAATCTCGGTATCCTCTACGCAGAGAGAAATCTGGGAGCAGAGTGCGATTCATTTGGGTTGGCTGTGATCCGTCTGAAATGCGTCTTTGCTCTCTCGATTGAGGTGCCGAGAGTGGTCTTGACTCTTCGGCTTGATGCGTGAATTTTGGTATCATGTTACAGCGTTGCGAGCCATGCAAAAGGCGAGCTGGGAAAAGTCGAAGTTGCGGTTGGGATTGAACTCGAGCACGGTGGAAGATGCCTGATCCGGCAAAGCGCCGGTTGCCACAATTCCCTCACCCTGCGTGGTAATTGGTGCGAGGCCTGGTGGGCTAGTACTCATTGTCATCCACCACATATCACAGACTCAAACAGCATCATGCCGGCCCCTCCAGAAACCCCACCATCTTACGCAGTGGCAACCGGCTCTTCCACAACCTCCTCTAAATCGCAAACATCCTCCCTTCTCGAGGTTCTCCAATCCAAGAATGGAATTCCTACTCAAGCCCGACGGTCGATGGAGGAAGAGCAGAGACCTCTGCCAGCAGGATAGATTCGACAATAGGACGCAAAGGAAAACCACCAGTTCTTCATGAACACTAATACCGATCCTCCCAAATCGTACTGGGAACATCCCCTTGACGTTCCAGATGTTGTCAACAGCCTCAGCAGCGAAGAACGGGAGAGGCTGTAGGATCAAGAAGACAAGATGAGAAGGCAGCACGAACATCCGACCGACCATTCCGACGATAAGACTCATAACTCACCGCAGCCAGACCGGCCATCGAGGTTCCATGCACTTCCGAAAAAGAGTTTTGGGGAACTATTCAAAGACAAGGTGACCGGTACGACACACGATGAACGCGGTCGAGACCGGATCCAGATGGAAGAAGAAGAATGGCAATACTATGAAGCTCACGTGCGATTGCGGCAATGCATGCAGAGAGCCGGGTCAACCCCAATTGTTTGCCAAGGATAAATATGGCAAAATCATCTACATTGAGCCTCCGGGTGGTCCCGGCTATGGTTATGGTGGATACGGTGCGTCCGGATATGGCGTCAACCCATATGCCACAGGCCCATACGGAGATCCCAATTCCAGATTCATTCGCCCTGGCTATCCTTACAATCGGCCGTATGGCCCTTATTCTGGGGGTGGTTACGGTCTGCCAGTGGCAGGTGGCTTGCTGGCGGGTCGTTGCTGGGCGGGATATTGTTCTAAGCCGTGTTCAACCTTGAATCGAGGCTAAAGCGATGACAAAGGGTTGGAAGGATGGATGGATGATTCTTTTGGCAAACGGTCAAGATCCCAGCGTGGCGTTCTCTTCAATGATACCTCTGCGCTCCTCTGGCGCAACTCCGGACCAAGAAACCTTGTGCCTTTCTCAGCTGAAAATATGTTTATCATCTCTCATCCAAGTGATCTATGCTTCAATCAGCGACACCGATACCCTCTACGTTCACCATTCGTACCGTCCCGCCAAAGTCACAATATTTAAGCTAACGATCAATGTAGTCCTCATTGTGTAGCTCAATCAATTTTTTGGGTATCACCGCGTCGTTTCGACCAACTTTGTTGTACACTGTGATGAACCAGGAAACCTCGTATCGAAACTTAACGTAACACTGCCCAGGTCCGCAGAACGGGTTCAGTCTCCTAGAAAAGCTGCCCACGACGACGACCACCTTTACAAACCCAACCAGTGTTTTGTGCCGGGAACCTCAAGCCACCCTGTCAGGGGAGATCGTCCATGTTCACCCTCGGCCCTCGAGGTCGTAGACACGATCACTTGGTACGCGCCCTGCTCGAGGCACCAACTTTCCTCAACCTCGTCCCAATAGCTCATGGCGTACGGGTCGACCGGGATCTCGACCTCCTTAACTTCTCCGGGCTGCAGACGCACTTTGGCAAACCCGTGGAGTTCTTTCGTCGGCCGGACCATGCCGGAATCAGGTGCTCCCACGTAGACTTGCACGACTTCGGCGCCTGCGACCTGCCCAACATTCTTCACCTGGACACGAACCGAGGTCGGAGGGAAGGTCTTGTCATCCGGCTTTGAAGGCGCCATCGAGACGTCCACATCGCGCATGTCGAATTCCGTGTAGGAGAGACCGTGGCCGAAGCTCCATTTCGGTGGTCGACCAACTTTGTCATAGTATCGATAGCCCACGAAAACCTCCTCGCCATAGATACATCGATCCTGGGTCGCGCCAAAGTTGAGATAGGTCGGGTTGTCGCGGGCGTCGTGCGGCCAGGACATGGGCAGTTTCCCGCACGGGTTGAAGTCGCCAAAGAGGACATCGGCGATGCCGTTGCCGGCTTCGTTGCCGCCGAACCAGGCTTGGACGATGGCCGGGACCTGATGCGCCCACGGCACCGAGATGGGAGTGCCGGACAGATTGACGACCACAGTTCGCGGGCAAGCTGATGCGACCCGCGAGATCATCGTGTCCACGTGTGGTGGAAGAGACAGGGTCGCACGATCATGCCCTTCGCCTTCCCAGTCGCCCTAGCGTTCAAGATGTCAGTTGGTAGCCCTCGATGGGCGCGCAAAGGCGACCAGCGGACTGCTGACGCCAAACCTGACCAGGGGTCCGGGGACGACGATACAGGGGGAGAAGGGAACTTACATTGAGGCCTGTGCAGATGATTGCGTACTCGGCCGCCGCAGCTGCTTTCTCTGCTCTTCTGATACCTTCTTCGACGTCGATTCGAGGGCACGCACCTAGGCGGATGCCGCCTCCACCCAGTCCTATCCCCCCAGCCGGGTGACATTTCGAAGTCGCGGCGCTGCCAAAGTCCACGCGCAGCTTGTAGACTTTTCCGGCTTCGACGCTCACGGCCCCACGCTCTTCACGGGTCCCTTCGGAGAAGAAGGATGTTCCCGACGTCTGCGTTGTGCTGTTATCGATGACCAATTCGTCGTTGACGTAGAGATTCGCGGTCCCGAAGCAACAAAGACCAAAATCCCACTCGCCCGAGACATCCGGCACGAGTTCGGCCGTCAGCACTCCATAGAACAGGTCAAAGTTTAAAGCGGGGTGGCTGTAATCTCCCAGTTGGAAGTATGTCCTAACCAGAGGCATTTTCACGATCGGCACTCTTGTCGTCGTCGGCGTCGTCGTCGAAGGTGGTTCGTTGAACAAGACGAGCTCAAGGTCGCGCAGAAGTCGAGCGTTGAGTAGAGGCAGCATTCGGTGGGCATACGCCCCGACTTCAAAGGTGATGTCGCATGTCTCGCCGAGCTTGGACTTGATGGCATCGCCGGGATGGATCGTGTAGTAGGGCTCAAGGCTCGTGCTTCCGAGTCCCAGTACGGACAGATCTTGCATGTGGGAACCGATCAACGCCAGCTTCTTCATCCTCTTTGGGAGTGGCAACAGCTTGCCCTCGTTCTGCAGGAGAACGATACTGCTATCACAGAGCTCTCTATTCAAAAGACGGTCCTGGAGACAGTCTCGCTGACCTTCTGTCTCAGAGACGGGTGCATGGCTTGCTTTGCGGACGAAGTTCAGCACGGTTCGCGCCCGCTGAGCCAGCGCAGACTGCTTGACGTCGCCCGTGGCCAGCGCCGTCTTAAGCCCTTCCCCGCGGAAGATGGTGGGCCCTGGCATCTCAAGATCGAGACCTGCGTTGATCGCGCTGTGGCCCACGTAGGTGCCGAACCTAGCAAAAGCATATCTCAGCCGATAGGGGCTTCGAGTCGAGGGGAGCAACGTCAGGAGCCATATACACACCAATCACTCATCACCAGCGGATTCCATTTCCACTCTCCCCGAAGGATGGTTTCTATCAGCGGAGTCTCGGAGCTGTGATGGCCGTTCAGTTTGTTGTACGCCGTCATCAATGCCCCCGGGTTGACGTCCCGGGCGGCGATCTGAAACGGTCGCAGGTGGATTTCTCTCAACGCGCGTGCGGACACGATGGCGTTGAGTTTCGATTTCCCATTCTCTTGGTCGTTACACAAGAAGTGCTTGATGGTGGCTTGGACCCCGGTCGATTGGCAGCCTCGAATCATCTCACTCGCCAACGACCCCGTCAAGTAAGGATCCTCCCCGAAAGCTTCGACGCCGCGACCGCCCAACGGGGAGCGTTGGATGTTCACCGTCGGTCCCAGCCAACAGTGAGCGCCTTTGGCGAGACACTCGTTCCCGAGGAGCTCGCCGGCCTGGAACAGCAAAGACTTGTCCCAGGTCGCCGCTAGCGCCGTGCCACAAGGAATCGCCGCCGCCGGGGGCCCTTGAAAGAATTTGGTGCCGCGGATCCCTGCCGGGCCATCGCTCATGCGGATCGAGGGAACGCCGTGTTCTTCGATCGCGTGGGTGTGCCACCAGTCTCGCCCTGCTGGGGTCTGAGCAAATGTACCGTCAGACTGTGTTACAACATCGGCGACTCTCACCTGTGAGGAGCAGAATCTTCTGATGCTCGGTGAGCTTGGACAGTACGTCTTCCACATCGAATGGGGCATGTGAAGGCGCCATTGGTTGCTAGCGACAAAGCTCGTCCTCACTCAGAAATACCTTTCATCCAGCAAAGGCAGGTTCACTCGTCCAGCAAAGACTGGGTGCTTTGGCATTCCAAGGGGCAGGTAAATGGCGAAGCCATGTCTTTTGATCCGGAGCAATATATGCCATATCGTCAAGACACTGAAATAGGTATGGTGCAGCCCCGTCTCCACGAAATATCAAAATCTGAACGCAATAGATACCCCTTGGAGATGTCAGGTCTCGGGGACGAAGATGGGCTGATGGTCTTGGTCGGTGCGCTGAGTGTGTTCAAACGAGGATCCCTTTCCCCTGTTGGGCCATCGTTTCCTGCCTCTAGTCCCCTCGTGTCCCAGGATATACTACACCGTATAGTCGTGATCAGGAGCTTTAATCGTCCCACATATAAGCGACTCGTTCGGCCTCATGATCCGAAGCCACGTTTACCGAGGAACAAGCAGTGTGGCTCCAATGAGCGCGACCGAGCTGTATCCACCCTGAAAAATGTTTCTTCCTACCCCCCACCGGCTGGTCCCGCGGCTGGTATCTCGACTGTCCCAACGGGATTCTGACTCGGGACTGGATGACTTGACCTCGACCTCTCCCACCGGCGAATCATCGGACATCACAACCAATCCCCTGGGTCCCTCCGGTTGATGTGGATGCTCAAGCTGATAACAGATCAGGACCATGGCCGAGGTTGTGCCAGTCTTTACCTAAGAAATCCATCACCTTTATCTCAACACCCGGCTATGACCGCTTTGGTGTCCTGGTCGGGCTCTTCTAGATGGTCTGAGGACATACATACTTTCTTGGAGTTCAAGTGTCATTATGCGCCACCACAGCAGGCACGGTCTGGAGATTGGGCTTTACAAAACATTGCGTTATCAGTTGTTGGAAGGATAGAGTTCAATCGTAGATATGGAGGGAAACACTTCATGTGACCGCGAGGTCGCAAGTATGAAGAATGCCTCTTCAGGCGTCTATATCTAGCCCCTCCGAATCAGGAGCACGGTCAAGGATGTTGAAGAGGTCATCGTTGCACCGCGGCAAATTGTATCGTTAAACCCTCAAAGAAATAACATTCGACCACGTCTATCTCCCACCCAGGCATGACAATGAGTCTGATTGAGGCTTTCTGGAAGCCCCGACCTCCTCAATCGTCGGGACGAATTGCCGTGCTGGTCATCGTTTGCTCTTGCGTCAATGCGGCAGTAAGGGTGGCGCATCCTGTATCCCTGGCGTTGATGCTGATGATTCTCTCCTCCAGACTATCGGCTATGATGGGTCCATGATGTACGTATATCTGTTTCGTCCCAGGGCGGTAATCTAGAGGAGAAGAAGGAAGAAGGAAGAAGGAAGAAGGAAGAAGGAAGAAGGAAGAAGGAAGGGAGGAGGAGGAGACGACAACAACAGGAGAACTTAAGAATGGAAGAATGATGTGATTGACCATCGCCTCTAACTCTAGGAACGGGCTAAACATCCTGCCCTCTTACTCCGAATATTTCCATATCAACACGGCCACGCAAAGCCTGTCCACCTCAGCGCTTTACATCGGGGCCACCATCGCAGGCATGACCTTCTCACCCGTCGCCGACTGGCTGGGTCGCAGGGCAGCCATGTTTTGGGCCGCGCTCATCACCATCGTCTTTGTCATCTTACAGACGGCGTCGGTGAACATTGCCATGTTCACGGTGGCGCGAATCATGGTCGGCTATGGCAACGCGGCATCTTCGATCGCGGCTCCGGCGTATGTGGCCGAGACTCTGCCCTACAAGTGGCGTGGCTGGGGTTTGGGTCTCATCACGGATTTCTACTATGTTGGTACGCGGACACCTGTGGCAGAGGCTCCGGGATGTTTGGAAGCCCTGTGCGGGCACAAATATTAACGATGCTCTTGTGACAGGAGGCCTCATCGCCGCCGGTGTCACCTACGGCACGGCCAACATTCAATCCACCTGGGCTTGGAGAGCGCCATCGATCGTCCAAGCCATTTTCAGCCTCGTCTGCATCCTCATGCTCCCCTTCCTACCAGAATCTCCTCGTTGGCTGATGTACAATGGCCGACGGGAAGAGGCACGCGCGACTCTCGCTCAAATGTGCGCGCAGGGAGACGAAGGCGACCCCATTGTGCTCGTCCAGTATAAGGAGATCGAAGATACCATCAACTTTGAGAAGAATACGGGCGAGAAACTGTCATACGTGCAATTGTTCAAAACACCTTCGGCCCGCAAGCGGATCAGCATCGTCATCAGCTGTGCTCTCGCCACCGTCATCGTCGGTAAGTGCAAGCAGACGGATCTTTTTCCCATCCAGGCCTCGAGATCCTAATTATTGAGCAGGAAATCAAATCGCCAGCTAGTAAGAGCGCCGCCTCCCTCCTCCTCTTCCTCCTTCGATTTGAGTCGGGATAGCTCAATTGAGCGTGCCAGATCAGACAACTAACACCGTGCCACTAGTTATTTCGGCACGATGCTCACCAACGCGGGTATCACTGATTCTGATACTCAACTGCAGATCGTGAGTGGCCTTGTTTCCGTTGGTCAAATAATAACCGTCGCTGATCTCTCCATCCTCTCCTTCTCGCAGAACATATATCTCAATCTCTTCTGCCTCGCCTGCGCGCTGGCGGGGACACATTTCTCGGAGAAGCTCGGGCGCCGGATCGATGCGCTCGTGTCCACGATCTCTCTCACCATCTTTCTCTTCCTCATCGGCGCCCTGACCAAGGTCTACGGCAATTCCACCAACACGTCGGGCATCTACGCCACCGTGGCGTGCATTTTTCTATTCATGGGCTCCTACTCGTTTGGATGGACCCCCTTGGCGTTCCTCTACCCGCCCGAGGTGCTCAACTACTCGACGCGCGCGGTCGGGCTGGGCCTCAACACCACGGTCATGTACGGCTTCGGCTGCTTGATGGTCTTCTGTCTGCCGTACGCACTCGCCGATATCGGTTGGAAGACTTATATGATCAACGGGGCATGGAATGTCCTGTTGATCGTCTTCATCTACTTCTTCTGGGTAGAAACCCGGGGTAAGACGTTGGAAGAGATCGACGAGCTCTTCGGAGGGGTCAAGCACAGCAATGTCCCCGACATCACACAGGTCGAGAAGGGTGACATTGATATGGATGTATTGAGGGTCAAGCTCGATCAGGATTAGATATGCTTCCAGGCTGCGTCAGGGGCTTCCCGGAGCACAGTGTTATTAGTATCATTATTGTAGTTACAGGCAGACTGAGCACTGAGAGCTGTGACGGCGGCCAAAGTGTACGTTGTGATCCATGGGTGGTGGTGTCGTGTTGGAAGCCAAGAGTCTCTATACATCTCTACACGTGACTTAGGTGGAGTAGGGGAGTATCGCTACTTCACTACTAGATAGTGAAGAGACGCGTCGAAGTTATCGGAGAAGACTCTAAGAGGGTATAAATATCTCTGTCTCTCTCACTCTCTTTCCTGCTAGATGGTTACTTTAACTGAATTTTTCACTATTTACCTGGTTCAACTTGTCGCACACTATGAGAGGGGAAGGCTTTCTCCGGAAAGATGGTCGTAGGACATCCCCGTACCGAATCTCACTCCTCGGGTGCCGTTCCACAGGACCCTCTTCTTTGGATTCTGGTGCGCTCGGACTGCAAACCTGGTAAACGTATCCGAGTCCACGTTGGTTAGACGTGTCGGATTCTCTTGTGACTCTTTCATTTGGTCGTGCACCATTGCATGAAAGACTGGGAGTGCCGGGACACCAGCCCCAAGTGCAAAACGAAGGCCCTGGCCTTGTCTGCAGTATCGAACTGGAGAATTCCTCCAGTGAAGACTCTAGAGGTATCGTCAGGCGTTGAAATGATTTAATAGCAAGATCCGTCGTTACCTTGTGCTCTCGTTTGGCATTGTGCCGAACAGAGATAACTGACACGCGGGTTGATGTCCTGTATCAGCGAACTGACTGAATTGGGCATGCGTTGACTTTAATTTCTGCCCTATACCGTCAAATCGAAACTTAGCATCTGAGGCGCTTGATATGATCAGCTCCTTGACTAGCTAAACTGATATTATGTAGCTCATTTGAGGCTCATTTGAGGCTGCAATAGAGGCATAGCATCTAGTATGTTCATATATAGGGTCGGCAGGAAGAATAGTGGGACCGATTCATTATTGTGTGACAATATTCATGACGATAGTCTAGATTATGTTCGTGGTTCCAGTATATTATTAGGTACTTAGAGGACGACGGGGAGGCGTAGGCTACGGTTAACACAAGGTAAGCGAATCGAGCCAAGTGTAATGCCGTCCCTGCGCCCCATACTCTCCCCAGTCCCACCACTAGAACACATTTGATGGGCGCATCTGGGAAATGTGCTTTCATTTCTTGAATCGGTCTTCTTATGAAATCAGTATATCACGGTATTGAACAGTTCGCATACCTATTTTAATGCCTGCCAGAAACGCAATAAATGCTCTGAATAGCAAGTTCAGGCAACCTCCATACGCTCGTTACGACTAACGGAATGCCTGAGAGGAGTCGGTGTATCCCTTTGCTGCCTATTGGGACCAGAAGAGTCGAATACCCCGTCATTCTCAGGCCCTCGAGGACATTGTCCTCAAGCGGCAAATCAACCTACCTGCTAACTGCGGGGTGAACCACTTCCTTGCCCCAGCTGCTCCTCGAGAAAACGCCGGAAGCTGGTCATCATCTCCCCGAAGCTCCGCATTGCACCCAGGTTGGGCGGAGTATTCCAGACTCCGGGGGTTTGCCTAGAACAACTCCTCCGAGAGACCGGACAACAGTCTGGAACGAAGGAAAATCTGTGACTGGCCAGGAATACTATGATCATATGGGCCATGATTTCGTTCCTTCCGTTGATGCATGTGGATTTCATTGTGTTCTCGCAATTGACCTTGTGAAACTAAGAAATTGTGACGATGCACCAAGTAAACGGAACGTCCTTTACAGAGATCCCACCTCCAAATGACAGAGCGATAAACGGCACAGAAATAATCAAGGTGCCTGTGGTGGTTATAGGAGGTGGAGGTTCGTCAGCATCTGTGTTTATCTTTTGCGAATACTCTGAAATGACCTAACATGCATTTTAGGTTGTGGGCTGAATCTCTCGATATTTCTATCAGACCGTAAAGTTCCGCATTATCTATTCGAGAAACACGAAGGCACTTCGATTCTCCCAAAGGCTCACTATCTTAATCAAAGATCACTCGAAACCTTTCGTCTCCATGGATACGCCTCTGAGATTCGAGCCAAAGGTGCGCCCATGCGAAACATGTGTCAAACCACCTACGCGACATCGTTGGGAGGAGACGGCCCATATGACAGGAAGATTCTGTATACCAATTCGGCTTTCGGTGGTGATGAAGGTTCTGAAATGCTACGCAAGTTTATGTAAAGATGACGGTGTCCTGTTTGATGACTAGAACCTAACATTTCATAGGCAAGTTGGACCTGAACGACCAACCAATCTACCTCTTTCACGCTCAGAGCCTATCTGGAGACAGATAGCCGAGGATCGCAACCCAGGAAACATCAGATTTTCGCACAAGGTCGTGGACTTCACTCAAACCGACGACTTTGTGGATCTTCAAGTTGAAAGTCCTGATCGAAACACCAAAATCTACCGAGCTCAATACGTGGTAGCTGCTGAAGGTGGAAAGGGGCTCGTGAGGCCAAAGTTGGGCATCCAAATGGAAGGTCCAACGAACATTGTAGACGTCGTCTCAATTCATTTCAAAGCTGATCTCTCGAAATACTGGGACGATAGAACAATAATCGCAGCGTTCATTAACCCCGAAGGAGCCACACTTATGGGCAGCGGCAGCCTGATACCACTTGGTCCAACATGGGGTAGATACTGTGAAGAATGGGGTCTTCACTTTGGGCTCGGCCTCGATGATCCTGCTCGATTGCGCGAGGATAATCCGGATGCGTTGATACCCCGTATTCGCAGTCTTCTCAAGATTCCAGACCTTGACATCGAGGTTATCAAGGTCAGTCACTGGGTTATAGAGAGGGTGCTGGCGAATAAATACCAAGTTGGCCGAATCTTTCTGGCTGGTGATTCCGCGCATCGAAGTAGGTGAAACTGAAAAAGCTGTTAGATGCAAGGTCTAATTGTCACAGGGCCTCCAACCACCGGACTCGGTCTCAATGGGTCAATCGAAGATGCCAACAATATTGCATGGAAATTGGCACAAGTCGTCCATGGTAAGGCTTCGGCGAAGCTCTTGGATACATATGAACAAGAACGTCGACTCGTTGGAAAACGCAACTGTGACTGGGGGTGGGTTTATGGAAGAAATGCATCACATACCAAGCTAACCTGCGCAATAGATTAATGACCTTCAAAAATACTTCTATTCTAAATGCAGCGTTGGGATTTATCCCAGGTCAGAAGGATGCTAACATGGCACGCCTTGCTGGATTGATGGAAGAATCAGATATCGGTGCCACGTACCGTGCCCAACTCCGACATATCTTTTCATCGCAGGTGACCGAGTATTCAGCACTGGATCTGGAACTAGGTTTCAGCTATTGGGAAGGAGGAGCGCATGTTCCAGATGGAACCGAACGACCGGCAATCGACCCGCTTGGACAAACTTACATCCAAACTTCAAGGCCAGGACATCGGTTACCTCATGTCTGGCTAGAGATCAATGAGAAGGAGTCAGACCAAATCCTTTCGACCCACGATATCATGCGGCACGAATACGACTATTTACTGATCACGGACGAATTCGGTGCGTTGTGGGTAGACGCAGCCGAAAAGGCCGCAACAAAGCTGCAACTTAATCTCGGGATTGCTCAGATTGGACCTCTGGCAGCAGGACTTCGCCCTTGCAAATATATAGATAGGGAAGACCGCTGGCTCACCGAGTCAGGATTACGCAAAGGTGGTGCGATTCTAGTACGGCCAGACAATTTTGTGGCCTGGAGACAGCGGGATGGCAGCATCAACGCAGGGGACGAAGTGGCTGTGGCATTGGAAATCCTGACAGGGGACAACGTAGGTCATGATTTGCCGTTGCATCCGTACCAAACCAACGGTTTCTTTCTACGGCATGAGAAAGAGGTGCTGAAGAAAATGAGAGCGGCAAATGGTAGCTGAGAAGCTGTTACGAAGTGTCCTTTGAGTGAAGCAAATCCTGTCAATTTACAGATACTCATTCGATCATCTCAACCATAGCAACCATGTACAGAGAGCCTTGAAATAAAGGAGGTGAAGTCCAGAAGCTTGAACGTTACCGATCCCCAGACCTGAATCGTCATGCGTGTCGATGGTAGATGTGAATGGATCTTCGTTAATGACCAACCACTGGAAACGAGACCGGTGTCTGAGCTGCGACCGGATTGAATCGGAGACACTCTGTCCGGTTGACACTAAGCCCCGCTTACCAACTCATCCTTCACGGAGAGTATACAGATCGCCACACGTCGGAATTATATGAATGGCGAGAAAACGAGTATAAAGCCACAGAGCAGCTAGCCGGGAAGTGGACAGGGACAGATCCTGAAGTCTATACAAGAGCAAGCCTCAGTTCAGCTACACAGGCGGCGACACCATTAAATCTCTTTTAAATCCTTTAACATGGCTGCTGGTAAAGTGAAAAGTCCTTCCAAGCTTGCCCACGTGGTTTTTCGAACCAACAACTACCATGATATGGTGGAATACTACAAGATATTTCTTGGGGCAGACGTTAGTTATGAAAACGACATTCTTTGCTTCCTACGCTATGACGACGAGCACCACCGCATCGCCATCATCGGGCTTCCTGGCACAACGGCGAAAGTGACCGACTCCAGCGGGCTACACCACACAGCATTCTCTTTCGATACGCTTGACGACCTCATGCTGTCGTATACACAACGTAAGGAATTAGGCATCAAGCCCAGCTGGTGTGTGAACCACGGGCCGACTACCAGTATCTACTATAAGGACCCGGATGGTAACGAGATCGAGACTCAGGTTGACAACTTCGATACGGCTGATGAAGCGAACGAGTTCATGTCTTCGAAATCGTTCGCCGAGAATCCAATTGGGACTGATTTCGACCCTGAGGAGTTGATCAAAAGGATCAATTCGGGTGAGGATCAACGCATTCTCAAGCGGCGTGTTGAAATCGGTACGCGGGGCCCCGTTGTGCACTAGTTAGCTAGAGTTCGTCAGAGCTCTGTCATCAGTCTGATAGATGTCTGTCAATTGAATCCTGTCAATCGCCAACACCTTGGTACAACACCTTTGTACAAGGGTTGGTATCATCTCCCAGCCTCCTGTACACGGTAGAGTCATACCTTTGACTATAGATAGATGGGCTTCCCCCGTAGCATCGAGGAAGCCCAAGGAACTCAGTTTCACCTCATCTTTGACAAATCCACACCTCGGAGTCTAAGCCAGTTTCGGGTCATGGAGATCCGGAGTTGAGAACTCCGTGCCGCTGTTCGAATTCCGGAGCTCCGCTCTCTCATCTTTGCTCACCAGTAATAGCAACTCAGAGCTTTAGCAATTCGCTTCGTGAGTCTCAAGGACCCCGCATATCTGGGGCAACATGGGATCGTGCTCTCCACACAGGGTCTGCCAAGTTGAGGGGCGTGGACAAATGCACCTATAGACGTCTTTTGTGGGATATCTTGGCCAAGCCGAAGCTCTTGCTGTCCTTCTCACCAACCTTGATTGCCATCAGTATCTAGCATTCTAATCCACCACCTTCTAAACTGCGCCCTCCAAAAAATATCCTAAGAATGGGTGGGAAACGAAACCTCCCACAATGTCCCATTGCGTGTCACAACTGTCGGTTAAAAAAGGCTAGATGTGAGGATCTCATATACAGAATCATCCAAATTTCCGTGTTTAACATGGCCAAATCTATCTAGGTAGTGGAGCTTATCCTTGCTCCAGCTGCGTGGTGAGGGAAAGTCTGCTGATTGCGCACGAAAATCATCTAATTTTTGTTCCAGCGCCATGAATGGGAGTGTGTATTCCCTGGTCCTGGTCAGCCGCGACAGAGGCAGGCCAGGGGAAAGGCGGCAGACGTAGAGGATCGGCTCGCTCAGGTTGAGAGACTACTGCAAGAGCAGTTTGAGAGATCATCAGCGCCGGCAGCAGGCCCTGAAATCGACAACAATATCGTCGTCATACCTACTCCGGAAATCAATGGTACATCAGACGAAGCCCAAACGATTCCTCAGTCCTTGTCAGATGGCGCCGCCTCGAAGGTGTCTCGGAAGCAAATTCAACGACCACTAACGAGGCTTTCTAGCACGACTGCCAGCCCAAACCAAGGACCTGATGACCATTTACGTCACAACGACTCTGTAACTCAGACACATGTTGACTCTTTTCCCGGACTCACAGCAGCATCCGATTGCACATCACTTTGGGACGGGTTTGCTCGGAACATGGCAGTGGACATGGATCTTGTAACGGCTCCTATCGCCGAGGGGATAAGAGATCGTGGGATCCCACTTCCCGAAGAGGTGAAATATGCCCACCCTCCTACCTATCTCAACTGCCTGTCACCATCTAACTGCTCACAGATCGATTCCGAAGATCACGGTGAGACACGCCCAAGTTTCAAATCGTGTTGCGATTCTGAATGAGTTTAAAACAGGCGATGCGTCTTACCTCGGCATATGCTCAAGGGCAGGCATTGACTGGATATCACAACGCACCAATAACGACGACTTCATCTCAAGTGCACAAAAGTTCGTCACTGGCGTCAACCTGACACTCAAACTACCTAGACCTCCGTCATCGATCCGAGCTCCTGAACCGGACCGTGCGACCGCTGAAAATTGGGCAACTGGTAAGCCTCATTCCTTCTGCAAATGGGTAGCCGATCTCTTATGCTCTTCAAGCTTTCTTCGAAGAGTCCTTTGAGCACAGGATTGGGCTTGTGCGACGGGATCAGTTTAACTCGAAGTTACATACCCCGTGGTCCTCCTCATCTTCAGATCCCGGTTGGTACGCGTTAAGAAACGTCGTTTATGCCATCGGCAGTCGCCTTGCTTTAGCCTCGGATCAGCTTCCATCCTACGCCGCCGCCAGAGATACTTCTTGGGGCTATTTCGAGAACGCCCTATCCGTCCACGTAGAACTTTTATACCTGCGCACGGACTCGAACGCTGTCGAGGCTTTACTTCTCATGGTACGCGCACATTAAACAGCCCAGCTCCCAATCGTCTGAGCAAGCTGACATTGTCAGGCTTTCTATGCCGAGGCTATCTCAAGCCCTGCTGTGGAATTTCTGTTGCTATCGAATGCAATTCGTCTTGCTCAGTCCAAAGGATTTCACCGCCCTATTGCAGCAGGAATCGGTATTTCAGAGGAGGAAATAGAAACTCGTTGCTGGCTATGGTGGTGCCTCTATCTTTTTGACAAGATTCTAACAAGCAGAGCATGTCGGTCTCCAGTGAGTTCGCCCGCGACCTAACAATTCGCCGTCTAACATTGATATCAGTGCATAAATGACGATGACTTCGACTTGGCAATTCCTTCTGCCCCCCGTCGTCAAACGGCAGCGAGTTTGGAATTTTTCAAGTGCGCGATACAACATGCACGCCTTTCCTCCCTTGTGACGCGCAAGCTGTATTCTCCACGTGCTCTTACAGTACCTATGACTGAACGACTGAACGTGACTAGTGAGTTGGATAATCAAATTCGACAATGGTGGGCTCAGCTCCCGGCCACTTTCAGGAATCGACCCACGCCTAAACTATTTCGAGAGAACCCTCATGTTGATCAAACACAGTGGTCATATATCAATCTCGCGTATCATGGAACTCTATGCGCAATTCACAACGTTATCACATATCCTTGGGTACAATCTAAGTCTAATCTTTTTCAGCAACAAAAAATGAGGACACAAGTCGAAGAAAGCTCGCGAATTGTCGCCAACGCCTCAAGATCCATAGCCAGCCTCACACAACAATTTGAGGTCACGTCTGCGTCACATGTATGGTATGATAGCATCCCATCTCCAGTGCTATAGTTTCGTTCGAGAAGACACTGACATATGCACTATAGGCAGGCATTCTATTATCCAATCGTTAGCCACATCAATCTTTTTCTTCAGATACTTCAGGACCCAAGAAGTCAATCTGCAGAAGCAGACCTCGCCTTAATGGAAGTGGTGGCCGGATCAATTAGTCGGATTGACGTTGCCACCAGAGGAGATCTCAAGTTCTCCTTCGCTCGGGATCTTGCCAACATAGCGCGTAATGCGATACATGCCGCGAAGGAACCAGTTTCAGACGCACTCCCAAGTCTTGGTCTGCATGGAAATGAAATGTCGCATGATGCATTCTCCACCGATTCCTCGTATATAGAGGTAAGTTGCGAATACGCAAAGACCACATTTTGAATACCTATTAACCTAGCGGCTTCCTCAGGACTCAGGACTTCTCTCATGGGAAAGCTCCGAGTGGGCGTTCCAATTTCCTGCTCTCGGTGGCGTAGGACTGATCGATTAGACTCAACGACTATTATACATCATATTACTAAATAATTGCAAATGCGATCAGTAAAACCATGAGAATCTTGACGGACATTCGTAGTTTCGCGAACGGAGACATTGTATTTAGGCCCTTAGAAATCTCCCAAGTGACAACCATCCGCATTAACTTATCGGAGCTCGGAGTAAGTAGTCCTCGTAGTTTCCGTGCCGGCTAATTCCTCTCGGTGTGTGCACGCGGGGTTACCTGTTGTATAACTCTTAGATCGGGTGCCATGGTGAATTGGTCTAATCTAAGAATTTCATCATCAAGTCTTTAGACCACTTACTGATTCTTACATCCCGCCCTCAATACCAATTCGTTGTTCAAATGGGTGCCACAACTCATTTGCCGGCCGCTGCTACATTACCCGGCGTGGGTCTGGTGACAGGGGGAGCCTCAGGTGAGGATACTACCTCCCAGCAACGAGAATTTACGAGACGTGCAAACTTTCTTACCTGGTTGCAGGGATTGGCCGTGCCGTGGCAATTGGCCTAGCACAAGCTGGCTGTACACGAATCGCAGTACTGGACATAAATGCCGCAGGCTTAAGAGAGGTCAAATCTACAATTGAATCTGGGAATCCGGATATCAATGTCTTAGCATTGCCTTGCAACACTTCCAGTGAATCCGAGGTTATCGAAACTTTTAAAACGGTGCTAGAGAAGTTCCAGCGCGTCGATTATGCCATCAACTGCGCCGGCATAGCTGGGACACCCGGCCCAACAGACCAGTGCCTCACACCTGACTTTGACCGTACAATCGCCATCAACCTCCGTGGAGTTTTCCTGTGTGCACGAGAAGAGCTCCGAGTCATGAAATCTCAGGCGATCGACTCTGAAATTTACCCAGGGATACCTGCCGCTCGCAGTCAACGCGGTGCCATTGTCAACGTCGCCTCTGGACTCGCGGTAGTTGCTCTGCCAAATTGTCCCGCTTACTGCGCGTCCAAGGCGGGCGTTCTCGCCCTCTCCAAGGCTGACGCGATCGATTACGCTCTCTACAAGATCCGCGTCAACGCCGTTCTCCCAGGCATTGTGGAAACTCCGATGGTCACGGGATCTGAGAGCACACGGGAAAATTTGGATTCTCACGCGGTCAAAGTAATGACGCCGATGAAGCGTTGGGGTCAAACTGATGAGCTCGCTGACGCTTGCCTCTTCCTTTGCAGTAATAATGCCAGTTTCATTACGGGTGTTGGGCTACCGGTCGATGGAGGATATCTGGCGGTATGATAGATATTAGATGGAGGGCCGAGGCGGTTGATCAGGCTTGTCATGAACTCGACCGTTTTCACGTGACTTTCTCAGGTCTGAAGGGAAAAGCCTCGTTACGGCCCAAATCAAGGACGTGGCCATTTGTCTATCTATCATTGAACATCAGAAATAGAGCATGCATCTTGCTTTTTAGGTAGTGGCACTATATCTATCCATGCGGGTCAGAGAGCCTGTTGCTAAACAATTTCTGTACCGCGGAGGATGTATTTTTTCTGCGTAGGCCTAGACAGTCACCTCCACCAGTGTCTTTTTAGCCGAGTCATTCAGGATGTAACCTGCATGAACTAGGTCGTTCGGAAACTGCATAGCGGACAAAAGATTGGGTTATGTAAATTGACTCTAAATCGAAACCACTGTATTCCGCCATACATATGGCAAGGGTAATCTACTGCATTTTGTAGACGTTTCAGTCTGTGCGAAGCGGCATACTTTAAGTTTGCAGAAATTTAAAGGAGGTTTATTTCTTTAGGAAAAGCTGTCGAATATTGCTGCTGTACCGCCTCACTGTGACTCATTCACAAGAGTGGAACCTGACAAAACTGCTAAATAAACATTTGCAGTTGATGTATAGTCAATCCACCATTCAATATTCCGCTACGGATGAAGGTGACCTCTTACTTGGAACCTGGGACTTTCAGAGGGCCGAACTTGATTCTGAGTTTCTCCCCGTAGAAGAAAAGAGGCACAAGCAGACCCAACGCCGCGACGATTACAGCCGCCTGCACGCCAAATGAGACATCGAACCCTGACCTGATGCCCCAGGTGAGTTGAAAGTATGGAACTGCCATGCCACACAGGGTTCGGGTAGCATTCAACCACGCAGATACTTCGCCGGAACCGTTGGGGTAGCAATCCAAGGTATACGCAGTGATCGAGACACTTGCCAAAATGATGCCAAAGTTGTAAGTGCCCCACCCAATGACGATTCCGGCCCAATGGAGGCGATGTTCTAGAGTTTGACCTATAATTATGAGGCCTGGGACCAAGAAGATAGCTGCGAAGAAATTCGTTGGAAGGCGGCCTTCTGGTTTGAATATTCCCTTGTGTCGGCCAGTGTAATGGTTGGCGACCTTGTCATTGAGGAAGTGCCCGGCAATCTCTCCCAGGATAACACCTACGGTGGGGGCTCTAATTAACGAAGGTCAGCTTAATCACAGAAGTGGAAAGTGAGATCGGAGCGTACAAGTAGATGAATCCAAGACCGTTGACACCAAAACCATAGCCTCCGTCCTCTGGTGGAGTGGCCAGGAGGACTGCAGAGCTGTTGTTGATTCCTACACCCCACATGATTGTGGCGCCACTATTCAACCACAGTTAGTAGATACTCTCAATCACCACAACTCGATTGAGGGATTAGATGCAGCGGACTTACTAATAAAGAACTGCTAGAAAGATGACAGGTTTGAAGATAACGACAAACACTCTAATATATGACTGCACAATTGGGGGAAAATAGCCATGGTGATTCTTAATCTGCCAAAGTCCCAGTAGTCTTGAGACACGTGTCCCCCTGTCTGGTTGATCACAAGTCGGAATGTCTCGTCTGTACCAGGACTCGTCCACAAAGGCGATGATGAGACATACAGCCGCAGTATTGTATGCCAGAGAGAGCCAGAAAGGGCTCTGCCAACCTGGAGTGTAGGCGAGCAAGAAACTCCCGCACATTGGGCCTAGAGATGGAGCCGTAAAGTAGAGAAGGAACCAGATACCAATCTTGCGGGCATGTTCGTGGTAGAAGAACATATCTTTGATGTAGATCAGGACTGCAACGTTGCATGTTGTGATGAATGCTCCCTGTAAGCCTCGCAACGCGTAGAAAGTAGTGTAATCGTCGGTCAAGCAAATTCCGAGAGTCAGGAATGTTGCGATAAGGCTGGTCCAGAAAAGTGTTGGAGCGCGACCCCAGTAGTAAGATGGTGGGATCACAAGCAAGCCCCCAACTCCGCTAGCATTGCCATTAGTACTTGTTCAACCTTCTAATGATTATGAAGGACACTAACCTCATCGCCACACACAAGCTGGTAGGGTGATTCATGAGGTCGGCAGTAGTGTTCCACTCCTCCGCTTGTTTAATCACGGCGGGAACTCCGAGCGTAATGCCAAAGTCACAGGACGATGTACATATAGCCGCGGTAATAAGGAAAGCGTGCTTTTTGAACCATGACCAGTTGAGCGGATCGTTAGGATCATCACTCGGCTGGGGCACGAGCACTGTCTATGGCGGTGTCAGTATCGTCAGGGTAGGATAGGTGGCCTGTGAGGCCTAATGCAGCTTACATGTCCATCCTTTGCAAGCTTTAGATGGGTTGCAGCTGCTTCTGCATCTCCTACAATAGATAGAAGGACTGCTTCACCCTCACGCTCAACGATATCGTAATCAGCCAGCGGAGCAACCTTTGTGGCTTCCATCTCAACGTGTTGCGCTATGTTGTTGTGCTTTGCAGTCATAATTTCGTTCTCAAGACAATCAGCTGTTGGTCAACAGTCAATTCCACTGTATGTGCGAAATCCGGTCAGCATGCACGGAGATGTCGTTTATTGAGGTCTTCCAGGTCTTAAACTGGGGTAGAATGGTTGCTTATAACGGTCGGGCTTCCACGCGTCCATTTTCCCCATACTCCAGGATTTGGGCTCGCCCTCCCTCGTCTCCAGCGGGGTTCATCTCCGGCTGTATAACCATCCCGGAGAGGAGCGGAGTCTAACGATATCCGGTGAAACCAAGCTCCAAATACACGTTTGGTTGTCGTCACCTAAGGCAAGACGCCGCTGTTGAATCAAAACCCAGTAGCCCTTCAGGAAGTGGTTCTGAGTCGACGAAGTTGCTCCGGACATGTATTAGGTCCGAACCATTATGAGAGAGTGCTGCTGAGGTAGAATGTGTGTTCAACTTAGATCATACTCTCGGAGTTGAACAGGGGCACAACCCCGCAGTGGGAATGAAGAATTTGTTGTATACTCTGCCCTGTTCACTATTTCTTAAAGATCTAGGCCAGTAACATTGTTCTGGAATCAATATTCGAAAGCTCCAGTCATGGCTTATAACACAGAGGACACTGATTGGTCCGAATTCAAGATCAGCGCCAAAAGCAAAGATCTGATATCTCGATTTTTCCAACTGCTAGATACCGAGTCTGATGATGTTGGTGACAAACTGGCAGAAGAAATATTCACGTCTGATGCAAAAGCAGAGTTTGGAGGGAAACTTTTCACGGGAAAAGAAGGTGTGGGCTGTTGTCCCGTTGAAAAGAGACTTACAAGAAAACTTACCTAATCAACAGAGATACGCAAATCGAGAGAAAATGCATGGAAAGTGATTGATAAAAGACGGCATAAAGTCGTAAAGGTTTTCGCTTCTTCTCCTCAGGGACAGGATCTACTTATAATTGGTCACGTTGAGATGGGCTTCCGTAATGGAAACAGTCTTGAAGGCGAATTTGCTGGGCGAATTATCATCGATGGTGCTACCGGAGATTCTCCAAAGCTCACTCATTATCAAGTATATGCGGTAAGACTTTGTCGAGTAGTTGGCTTGAATTCTGATCTGACCCGACTCTTTCATTCAGGATTCAGCTCCAATAGCACGTGCTCTCGCGCCGCCGAAGAGATAGTGATTCGTATACATTATCTAAGGGACAAATTGAGTCTGGAACGTGTTCGAATCTGGAGCATAGCTACAGTTAATGTCCCATGTGTATAGCAGATTGTGCATTTTATTTAGATAAATTGTGATGGACATTATTGATGTTACCAGTATTTGACGGTAACATGGCAGACCGTTCAATTAAGCCATCTCTTGCCATCATTGTTTTCTCATCGTATCAGCATTTTGTTTGAAATTCGGCCAATGTTGGAAATCTCGACTTGGACAACATCCCCTGTCTGGAGCCAGGCCGGAGGCTTCATGAAAGCGGCAACACCACTCGGGGTTCCCGTCATGATAACAGTTCCCTTTCTGATGGTAGTTCCTCGGCTCAAATGCTCAAGAATTTTCGGAATCGTGAACAATAGGTCTCCAGTGGAGGTCTTCTGGCGAAGCTCTCCGTTCACTGTCGTGCAGAGTTCCAACTCTTCGGGGTTGGGGATCTCCGACGTTGAAACTATGACGGGACCAATTGGTCCAAATTGATCGAATGATTTGGCATAACCGTGTTGATTTCCTGACTGATTGGGCATCTGCCAGAAGCGAGAGGAGACATCGTTGCCCGCACAGTAGCCGAAGACGAATTCTGTATAGTCATCTTTCGTGTCATAGTTCTTGCAATCTTTGCCGATGATTACGCACAACTCGCCCTCATAATCAAGGTTGATACACTTTCGATCTACCAGTATTTCATCGTACGGCCCTGCAAGTGCATCTATTGAACATGAGCAATGTCTCTTACCAACTTCAGGGAAACTGACCGGGAGGCTTGGTGAACACTGTTGGATACTCAGGTATTGGCATTCCGGCTTCGAGTATATGCTGCTTATAGTTCAGTCCAATGCCATAAAAGATTTTGACACTTGGAAGCGGGCACAGAATCTAATGACTGGTCAGCTTCTCAAGCACTATGTTTGCCCTTCCCCCTTTACCTCGGCGATTTCTGAAGTTTCTCCAGATTTCTCCAGATCCCAAGGCTCAGTTCCATTGTACACTTCAATCTTGTCTCCAATTGCTACTTGATAAGGGCCTTCACCATACTTGATACTTCCGTCGGTAGCCCTGAAGCGAACCAGACGGCGAAAGGCAGTTTTCATCTTTAAGACCTCGACCGATCTGGAGAAAAATGAAGGAAGTGAGTTGATTTTCGTCAGTCAAAAGCAGTCCCACTGCTCCCTACAAAACATCCAAGCCGCGTTTATATGCGGATCCCATGGTTCCGTCCCGGAGTGCTAAATGCCCGGAGTCGGAGAGTGGTGCCAGGCACTGCCAGTGCTAGTTCCGCTTTCAACCGAGTCAATACCTTGAGATTCTGGAGGTCGTTAACCAGACGATAATTATATCAGCGCAAGGCCTGCTGCTCCTCTTCAGAACGGGGGAAGTCTTGCAAGACACAAAGTGCCTCATCCATGACATAGGACTGCCGCTATAACATCAAACCATTTTTGGGATCGGAAAAAATGCGGTGGCAACACCCAAGCCCACATTTGACAAGACTTGATGCATTTCGAAGACAAGTGAACCAAAAGTACAAAACCCAACTGCAAACATACGATGACCTCCACAAATGGTCAGTGGACGAGCTGGAAGATTTCTGTCGGGAATTATGGGCATTTTGCGGCGTGGTCTACACCAAACCTCCCACAAAAGTCGCCATCGGTATGGAAAAGATGTGGCCAAGGCCTGAGTGGTTTCCAGACGCTCGATTGAACTATACTGAAAACGTCCTTTCTACTGGACTGTCGGCACACCCTGATGCTATTGCAGTGTCTGCTTGTCGCGAAGGTGGAACGGAGTGGCAGCACCTCTCATGGGGAGAATTACGGGCCCGGATAGAGCTCTGGGTCAGTGCCCTCAGAGCGGCTGGGATTGGGAAAGGTGACAGAATTGCTAGTGAGTATCTTCAAACCCCACACACGTAGAGTTCAGATACTGAGGATTGTGGTAGCTGTAACGACAAACTCCATCGACTCTGTCCTCTTACTGCTTGCAGCCGGATGCATCGGTGCAATATTCTCTTCCACCTCTCCCGATCTCGGAATTCAGGGAATAGTAGAAAGATACATGCAAATTCAACCAAAGATCATCTTCTGTGACTCGGAGGTCCTGTACAATGGCAAATTCTTAGATTTACGTTCAAAATTGAGCGCTGCGCTGAAGACTTTACGCGAAAGGAGTGACACAGTCGAAAAAGTGGTGGTTTTGTCCGGTCGCACATGGAATGATTCAATGGTGTATGTCTTACTGAAAGCCGATGCATCGTCTTCACTCTCTGAGCTTGGCTGATAAACCGCAGGATCTCTTCGGCTCGGTTTTTGGATGTGAAACCCGTTCCACTGCAATTTGAGCAGGTTGGATTCGACTATCCGATCTATATCTTATTTTCGTAAGAGAACACGATCTGCTTCAACAGTCATGCAACGTTAACCTTGGAACAGATCCGGAACAACAGGTGCTCCAAAGTGTATGCCACCCATTGTATTTAGGAACGAGATATGAGGCTCCCGCAGAGGCTAATCTTCACATTACTTAGGTATATGTCATGCTGGCGGCGGTGCGCTTCTCCAACAGAAGAAGGAGTTTATCTTGAATAGCGATATGAATCTAGACTCGGTCTACTATCAATACACAACAGTAAGTTACGATCTATCCGCGTAGCTCAAACGGCTAATCTAATCATTATTATCAGACCGGCTGGATGATGTGGAATTATCTAGTGGGTTCCTTGAGCGTAGGAAGTCGGATTGTTCTTTATGACGGGAGCCCCTTATATCCCAGCCCCATGACTCAACTCCAGATTCTGGAAGAACAAGGGTAAGTGCCTCTTCAATTGGCTTGAGTAGTGGAACCATCTCAATGACAATGTCTAAGTGTAACCCATTGGGGGACGAGCCCCAATTTTCTTGCCAATCTCAAACAGAATTTCACCAATGGAACAAGGCCGACGCTCGAAACCCTCCATTTAATACGATGTGCGGGCGCACCACTCTCCCTAGAGATATGCGACTGGCTTTACAAAGTGATACCGACTCGTATAGGGCTCTTCAATGGTTCTGGTGGAACTGACCTAGTCTCTGGCAGTAGGTGATTTTGACCAAGAAGACGAATGTTGCTAACTCATTCACTCCATAGTTGTTGATTGCAACGTACTTCAACCATTTGAGCTGGGCCAAATCTCACGGCCACAGTTAGGTATGAAAGTCGAGATATGGAATTCTTTGGGTCAACGGATTGAGGATCCCGGCGTGGAAGGTGATCTGGTGATAACGAGGCCCTTCTTTAGTATGCCAATCACCTTCTGGGGGGCTGGGGGAACGGAGAAATACAGATTAGCATACTTTGACCATTTCGAGGGATTTTGGTGGCATGGAGATTTCATCCGCAGACAACAGAACGGAAGTTATGAGATCTTGGGCCGCAGCGATGGTGTTCTAAATCCAAGAGGTGTGTCCAGCAAGACGTCCCGATCACCTTTCGCTAACCCGCCTTAGGAGTCAGATTTGGGACTGCAGAGTTGTACAGTGTTCTGGACAAGTTTCCACAGATAGCGGACTACATTGCCGTTGGACAACGACGACCTGAAGACCACGACGAACAAGTTTTGCTCTTTCTGAAGATGAAGTCTGGACGTCTAGACAAAGGGCTGATCATGTCTATCAGAAACTCAATCAGACAATCACTAAGTGCGAGACATGTTCCAGCCTTGATTGAACAGGTTGACGACATACCATACACGCTGAACGGGAAAAGAGTCGAAAACATCGTCAAGGACATTGTGAGTGGACGAAGTCCGAGGGTGGGACAAACAATTAGGAATTCAGAATGTCTGGATTCATATAAACAGTTCGCGCAACTACCGATAGTAACGGCTGGGCAGCCCAAGCTATGAGAAATAGCGTAAAGCGAAGGAAATGGAGGTTCCTTTCTTTCGTAAATCTGCATACTTCCGTTGAGTACGCGTGGTTTGGATGGAGCGCAACACAGAATTGAGGCTTTATTTACTACGCTCCTTTGGGCCTTCGTTGTGAATAGATCCTAGGAAGACTTTCTTGAGAAGTCTCTGCTAATATTCTCCTCACTCGTGGGTCCAATCTCCTTTCTTATGGGGCTGTGAGTGACAATACTCGCCTATTTACTGTAAATGTTCGGAGTTGAGTCTCCGAGAGCTGGCATCGTCCGCTCTAGCTTTCTGGGCCAGGTTCCGGGGTTTCCAGACTGGCTCAATGGCAGGCAGTCATAAAGACATCAGTCTTTCCCAAGAACGGAGAATTGTGTTAACACGCGCTCTCTGGCCAATCTCAACGATGAAAGAGGCGGTATCGACGTACAGAGCAATTCACCTAGCGAAACGACCTCATGGTCACATCACGCCTGGAGAGACTTTCTCTGTTCAGAGCCACGATGGCGCAGAGCTGGGCCACCTTGAGGATGGTGAGACGATTCTGAAAGTTCTCTATCTAAGCATTGACCCTGCTATGCGTGGATGGCTGGACAATGATCGTTCCTATCTAGCACCTGTGGAGGTCGGAGATGTCATGCGTGGCCAGGGCATAGCTGTCGTCGAGAAGTCCAGATCCGAAACTTTTCCGAGGGGCAGTTTTGTACTAGCAAATACAGGATGGAGAGAGGTCGCCAAGCTTCATGAAAGTGCCCTTCAGGCTGTCCGGGTTTCTCACAATATCCAACTTACAGACTGGATGGGTGTATTAGGCTACACCGGTATGAGTGCTTACTTTGGGTTGACCGACATTGGGAAGGTGGGAGCGGGAGATCTTGTGGTCATAACGGGTGCGGCGGGAGCGACGGGCTCTATCGCTGGGCAGATTGCAAAACTCAAAGGTGCTACTGTCGTGGGTATTGCTGGCTCAGACGAAAAATGTTCCTGGCTAGTGTCGGAGCTTGGATTTGACATTGCCCTCAACTACAAGGCACCCAATTTCAAACATGAATTTACGATCGCGACGGAGAACTTAATCGACGTTTTTTATGACAATGTGGGAGGTGAGATCCTCGATTTCGCCTTGACTCGAGCAAAGCAGCACGCTCGCTTCGTCATGTGCGGAGCAGTGAGTCAACACAATGCACTTGAGCCATATGGACTCAAGAATTATCTCAAGATTGTTCGCCTTCGTGTACGTATGGAAGGGTTTATAGTACTTGACTATGCAAACCGTTTTGATGAAGCTCGCTTGCAGCTTTCCGAATGGTTGAAAGACGGCAAAATCAAAAGCCAACAAACGATAGTGAAAGGTGGTCTTCTTGGGGCGGAACAAGCGCTTCTGGGACTATATGAAGGGAGTAATACAGGCAAGTCTTCCCTGCAAGTCTCTGCTTGGTGATAGTGTTACTGACAATATGATTCAGGGAAGCTATTGGTGGAAGTTTCCGAGTACGAAGGACTATCAGATCTTCCATAGGAGGATATATTGATGCTGTACTGCTATCGGATGCGGTCACCCGAAAGCAGATCATCGATACCAGCAATGACACTCTTCTCAAGACTTGTCCAGCCCCTTAAACCCCAATATGACCGAAGAATGTTTTCCGCTTTGTATCGCGCCTCAATTTGCGACAAATCTCTCCCTTCATTACTGGGAGGGTCTGGTATCCCTTCAATTTTGGGACGAATCTTGCAAAGAATGGCAACGATATCTGTCCAGCTGAAAGGCTCCGCTGTTGCGAAAATTCTTTGTTCTTCAATCGACTTATCAATCAGCGCAGCGACGTGCAGCCGTCCACAATCAGTAACATCAACAAACCATTCTGTAATTGTTAGCACGTTCTATTATCATTTCACCCTAAGATTCACCTACGCCCTGGCATAATATCAAAAGCGTGAGTGTCACCAGAAACTAACTGTCGTACAACCCCCATGGTGCTTCCACCGATCTCAGGGCATAGGATGGTGCCGAACTGGCCGGATGAGGAATGTGAGTATGACATACGTATCAATAAGGAACATGATGGCAAAGATGCCGACTCACAGTTGCAGCAGGAAGGACAGTATTGACAGCAAAGTGTGGTTTGTGGTCTCTCACAAAATTCCACAGAGCTCGCTCTCCCTCTGTTTTTGAGGCAGCATAGACTTTGGAAGGGAGGTCGTGGATAGAGGTTTCTGTAGACCGAGATGCTGAAACAGCCTTTTCATTCCATGAAGCTGTCAATTCCATCAGTTAATGATTGCCCGCTTCCTGGGATCGGAGTATAACTACCTTCCGTAATTATTATGCCGTTCTTATCCGGATCTGGGGAGTAAGTTGCAGACATCGAGGACGTGAGAACAAAACTCCTAATTGTTGGGACGTTGGCAGCTGCTCGGAGAGCAGCAAGTGTGTGTGCTCTAGTTTCATCGATCGCTTTTTCAACATCGGTTCCGCAGGAAAGAGCAGAGGCCTGCCAGTGGGAGTGAGGCTGACATTCATAGACATCAGCAGGGTTCAGGACTGACCACATGTATCAATCCCTGTGCGCCCTCCAAAGCCAACTCGATATCCTCCTGAATTCGAAGATCTGGTAAGACTACTGTCTTGAATCTGCCGTGACCGTACTTTTCGTCGAACATTTTCTGTAGCCATGGTTTGAAATTCCGAACAGTTCCACGAACATTGAAACCTTCCTTCAGGAGAATGTCCACCACTGTCGATGCTATGTAGCCGTTGGCACCAGTGACCAAGACCACAGAGTCGGGGTCTAATCTCAATGAAGGCCTTGCCATGTTAGCACATGGAACGTAGAAAATTACTCCCAAATTTCTTTGCTCAATTCAAGAAAATGGCTCTGCTGACTCTGGACTACTTAGATTCCAATCGATGCGGGGACGGCACGTTTCACATTCGGAGAAGTCGGGTGGTCAACTCCGGATTTCTCAGCCTTCGTTGGTTAACACGTCGTCGCATCAAGCTGCATAGTAATACTTGAGCGTCCATCGATTTCCTGGGCGATTTGTTCTCTAAATCTCGACATTTCAAGGAGATTTAGGGACCGAGTAGTCTGTCATGTAATGCCAGCTTGTAATATAACGACCTACGCCAATGAATCACTTCACGTTGGACTTCTACTTGGGACACATCGCGAGCCTCTCAAAACGAAAGAGCTTAAGCGTTGCAATTGGTTTGATCATTCCCATCTTTTGAAGAGACGTATTTCGTTAATTGAAACATCCTCTTGTCATGCCATTGGGCATCGTGATATTGTAGGCCCTCGATTCATCCTCCTCTGTGATCAAAAATTTAGAACGCACTCGGACCCTCATGCGGAATGTATTTGTTGTTATCAATAACGACATAATCAACGCCAACAAGAAACAACATCTTGTCTATATCGCCCACTACGGCCTCATCCGGTCGGATCAACCTGATGTACTCGGGATCCGTGTAGAAGGCTTCCATGTCTTCATACCTAGCGTTGACACTGAATCAGCAAGAAATATATCACCCTATGGCTAATGAATGGTAGATACCTACCGATTTACAATGAACTCCGCAATACCATCGTAAGGTGATTCACCCCCAATAGTTGCACTTAGCGCCTTATGCTCAGGCGTGATATGATACTAGAAAATCAGTTTTTGAGATCTGGCCTTGATGCACCAATCGGATGTCCCTGATAATGCACATACTTGAGTGTACTTGATTATCCCATGTCGCACGAGAAGTTCTTGCACCAAAGGGCCATGACTGTTTGCCCAGTATTGGTGAAAGTCCTGATCTGACACTCCAGCCTTTTTGGCTACCAAAACTGAAATTCGTGTGACTTTTTGCAGCGACATACTGAACTTTGCTGTTTATTGAAATTCGTTTCAGCTGATGCTTGAGATTGTTAATAATAGGCGGGGTGGACTATGCCGGTTGATTAGGAGCAGCGCCGTATATAAGAAAAGCGTGGACAAATTACTGGCAAGGCTCCAAGTCATAAGTTCTAGATAGTACCTTACGTCAGGTAGATGCAGGTATCTAAGATACTAGGTATGGAAGTTCGAGGGTCGGAGCTGATATCTGGGAACTCCGATCCCCAATTCCTCGGACCGGACTCCGACATTGACCACTATCCCGTGTTTTCGATGCGCTCTATACCTAGTATTTCTGGGATTCCGAAATCGTACAAGAGCATGACGTTCTCATGCAAAACCGAATTGGTAAGCTAACAGGCAGGAAAGTGATTCAGTTAAACGTCAGGTCAATCTATATCAATATCATTCACCCATCTTTCTAATGAATTGAGTTCAGAAGTTTACGACTTTGGCACTTCGAGTGTTACTGTTTCAAGGGTTGACGATACCTCTTCCACAATTATTAGCTGCCCAAAAGTTGCCAACACTATAGTTTCAGAAAACACGGCCCCATTCAAGGCAACTAGACTCGGCTCTGCAAGGGAGACCAAGGCTTTCCAGTTTTCGATTTGCAATCTTAACAGACATTATCTACTCTTTCTTCCATCCAATGTTCCTTCTCTCAATCCATGCCTTGTGGCTTCGCGAGAGCGTAATACCTCCCTTTCCGAGACATGAGCTCGGCATGCGTGCCCTGCTCCACAATATGGCCTTGATCGACGACCATGATCGAGTCGGCATGCCGAATGCTGCTCAAGCGGTGTGCGACGGCTACGATCGTCCGGCCATGCGATGCCTTCTGAAGAGCATCCTGGACTAACTTCTCCGACACCGTGTCGAGCGCGGATGTTGCCTCGTCTAGAATTAGGATGCGGGGTCCTCGAACCAAGGCCCGAGCAATCGCAATGCGTTGCTTCTGGCCGCCAGACAGCATAACCCCTCGGGTTCCGACTGTTGTCGCAAAACCTTCTTCTAAAGATTGGATGAACTCGTAGATGTTCGCATCTTTGCACACTGATACAAGCTCGTCCTCGGTGACTGCTGGGCCATCACTCCTCGTACCAAGTACAAGATTGTCTCTTATTGTTCCCTGGTATAGAACAGGTTCTTGTCCCACATACCCCAAATGTTGGCGATACTGATGAACGTCCAGTAACCTTAGTTTTTGGCCGTCTATCAATACTTGCCCGGCATCTGGATCGTAGTGGCGCACGAGTAGAGACAAGACCGTACTCTTCCCACACCCGCTGGCCCCCACAAGCGCTATAAAGCGACCCTGGCCAGCGTGTAAATTAAGCCCAGAGAGCACGACTTTCTCCGGGCGATTCGGATAGGTGAAATCCACGTTGTCAAAGTCGATTGAACCACGCAGCGTGCCTTGTTTTCTGTCGAGGTTCGTTTGCTCTATGGTCGGTTGGTGGTGCAGCAGATCATGGAAAACCTTTGCTGCCTTCCTCGCCTTCCCGATATCTGACGCGGAGGAGAAGACAAAGGCAGCCGACTGGGCGGCGAAGATGATTTCTGCAAAACACAGGAAGAATTGGAAGATTGAATATTCACCGGCAGCAACCCTAGTCCCTCCATACCAGAAGGCCAATGCGACACAGAAGAATATGAAAGATTTGGCTGCGGCAAAGGGTGTTGAAGTCTTCATGATCGAGTTGACGGCGCTTTTCTCCTGTCTGAGCAGTTGCGACTCGTACTCTCGAGCAGTAGCATCCTCTCTGGAGAGCGAAACTATCGTCCGCATGCTATACGCTGATGCGCTTGCAAAGGCGGACGAGGCTTGGTGAGCGTTGTGCATCCGTTGCGCGAACATGCCGATCATTCGCACGCGGTAGTAGCCACATCCTAAGATGATAGGTATAGTTGCTCCACAGACTAGCGCCACCTTCCAACCGACTACTAAGGAGATGATGATAGCCGCCGTAAGCATTGTCGCGGTGGATAAGATCGTTCCCAGCGTGGCCCCACTGAGTCCAGCAAGATTCTTGGCTTCAACAGACAAAGTGTGCGTTAGAGAGCCGACTCGGTTGTCTCGGTCGAAAAAGGCCACGTCACGACCGAGCAAGGAACGAAATGTCTGGCTCCTGGCTCGAAAGATCAATTTCTCCGAGCAATGTGCGAAAATGAGGCCGTGGCTGACGTTGGTGATTAAGCATGCAATACCGACGACAAACATCATGAGAGACCAAAAGCTTGCATCAGACCTCAGCATCGCCATCGTCGTAGCCGATTGGGACAGGGCGGCGATCCCCTTGGCGAGGACAAAGGCCAACGCTGGATTGCAGCAGCCCGCAAGAATGGAGAAGATAAGACCCAAAAACATGTAACGCTGTTCGGGCTGGTTGAATGAAGCGGTGAGTTTCGTCAGGGCCCAGAATGAGGGCTGGCCATTGTGAGATCCTGGCTGATGGAATTTGAGCTCTTGGACCTGTTGCAGAAGGCGTTCCTTTTCTGAGAAGTCATCGAGCTCGTCTGCAGAACTCGTGACATTGCCTTCGTCTGCACTTTCAGTTTCCTGTGCCTTCACAAATGCTGTATACTCTCCAGCCTGTTGTACAAGCTCTCGGTGCGTACCCTGTTCGA